TAGCTGCTTTAGTCGCCTACACCCTCGTGGCCGTCCCTCCGCTGCCTCCCGTAAGCGCCGCAGAGCCGCGTTCCCCAAGCGCGGCCGGCCCGGAGGGGCCAAGCGGGGCCGGGCCGGTCTCCCCAGGGCCGGGTGCGTGCCGCCCCGCAGGTTCCATCCCCCGCCCCTGCCTCACCTGCCGCATCAATGCCGTCACGCAGCCTCCGCGCTCCGGCTCCTCCGCCGGCGGCTGCCTCGGCTACTCCGGCACCCACAGCTCCAGGCACCTCCGAGCTGCGCCCACACCCGCCAGCTCCGGAGGCGGCCGGCGCGGAGCCCAGCGGCCCTCCCAGTTTTGCTGGCGGCGGCAGCCCCGTTCGTGGCAGTGGGGCCGACCTCTTCCCTGGGCTACTCCGAAACCCAGCCGCGGTCCCAGCGCCGCCGGGCTCGGGACCGCGCTGGGCTCGGGCCGGGCTGTGGCTGCGGCGGTTCCGGTTCCTCCTCACCCTGCCCGGGCCGGGGGCGGGGCCGCGGCGCGCGGGCCCAGCTGAGAGCGCCGGCGCTCCCCGCCCCCCAAGCGACGCGCCCCATTGGCCGGGGGCGAGCGGGAGCGAGGCGGGGGCGGGGCCACGGCCCCAGCGCGAGCCAAACAAAGCGCGGCGCGGGGCGCGTGACGAAAGCTCCGCGCGGAGGAAGAGGCGGTGGCGCGTGTGGGCTAGGCGTGGATCGAACCCCGAGATCTGGCCGCTGATTGGCTGAAAGAAAAGCCAATGGAGAGCCATCTAGCCGAGCCCTTTAGAGCGGGCCCAGGTCCATTGCCCAGGGAGCGGGTAGTTCGCGTGCGGCGCAGTGCTTGCGGCCGCCGCGCGGGGGCGCTGCAGCTGCGCCCGGGGCTCTCCGCAGGCCCGCGGAGCCGGGGCTCGCTGCCCGCTGACGCCGGACCCGCGCCCGTAACGCTTGTGAAAAATGCATGTATTTTATGATTGGCTTTTCGCAAATATTAAAATGAATATTATATGTGTTGTGTTAGAAAATAATGCTGTATTAATTTTCTTAAGTACTGTGTTAAATATAGTTTTAGGTTATAAAAATTGCCAAAATAGGAACGATGCTATGTAAGATGCTTTGTTTAACAGAAAGGGCTTGCAGCGAGACAGCAGACACAGGACACCTAGATCTTTCAGAGAAAGGGAATTTATTGCCTTCTCATCAGAAGAAACAAACTTCTTCCCGGCTTGGAGGCGCTGTTAGCATTAGAAGGGAGAAGCTGACACTGACCAGACAGAATCCTGTGTTTCAATAGAATTTATGCATCATGTATGAAGTGTATGAATATGCAACGGCCTATCGTTCTTAAGGGTTAATCCTTTGTTAACGGGTGCCTTTTTTTGGGCTCGTGATGCCCAGAAAAAGGTACCCGGACGTCCGTAACTCTTTGTTTTTATTGTCTCATATTGTCTTAATTCAATTTGTCCCAATTGTTATTACTCTAATTGTGTTACTAATTTTATAACCATTTTATTACTATTAAAGTTTTAAAATTTTAAAAACAAGTGACTGGCGTTTTTCACACCGCTGACTCGCTCCCTTCGCCGGGACCCCCAGGAAAGCCGAGGGGCCGCTCTCCCTGGGGCAGCTGGGACGTTCATGGGCTGCATTTGCTGCTGGGCGTTCTTCTTTTCGCAGTGGGTGCTCCTTGATGTGGACTGATACTTCATTGTGGTGAATTCACGTTAACAGCTAAGCAGGATAATTTAAAAAAATCTTATAACTGATACTGCACGAGATACTTTTCCCTTAATAACATGTTTGTGGAAAGAACATTAGATCATCCTCTTTTTTGAATCTTTATAATTTTCCTAGCAGGAAAGGGTGCCTTAGTCCTCTTCCAAGGAAAATCTTTGTAAGCTTAGGAATAAAGTCGTAAGTAGGCAAACCTCATGGTGGCGTCCAAATTCTGGAAAATTGGGCTCCCTTGGAGTATGTTGCAAGTAATTATCTATGATGGTAGAAAGGTAATATGTCTTGAGCACTGTGTTATTACCTCTAAATATGCTGTAAAGTGTACTTGTGAGTAACCAAGTGGACTACTCTAAATGGAATTTGTTAAAAAAGGCTTGTCTCCAGTGCCGAGCTTTGTGTTTAAATCTACATCTTAGTTGTTTGGGGTTTTTAAAAGAAAATATTTCCCAATTTTGTTATAATCTTGCACAAGATCATATAGTTTATTTTTTCTCCTTGGCCACAACCAAATTCAACAATACTGTTAGGAAATGGATTCTGCATCTCCACTGCCATGTATTTCCACAGTGCTTTGCAGAGAGATGTGCAGTTATGTTCAGCTCTCCAGATGAAAGTTTCCATTCTCTGTATGTAAATAACTTTCCCTGCTTGAATGGCCTCATTGCCTCCAGTGGACTGTTAAGGGGTGAAATTGCTCATGTGTCTAAATGTTTGTGAGAGAAAAGCTGACTGGGAAGGAGTTGGACAAGAGCTGAGAGGCAGGGGTAGGGTGAGATGCCAAAAGACACTTGAGCTTCCATTTGTTCAGTTTTGATGATGGCCCTTCCTCACAATTCTGGTTTTACAGACCTGCACAGCTACAAAATGCAAATAATCTTCCAGTGTTTGTTGTCATGGTTTTCTAGGCCAGGCAAGAACATTAACTTGGATTTATCCCACCTCCTGTGTATTTTAAAGTATGAATAAAAAATTGCATTTTTACTAGAAAATAGAGCAAGCAATGCAGAACTGTTCAGCAGAAAGACAAAGTTAATACTTTACATTTGTTGATTTTTAAAATTTTGAATCTAATGTGCATGATCATTGCAAATTACAACATGGAAGTACTTTTTCCAAAGATCCTAGGTGTAAAAGTCACCAATATAGTGAATGTTCTGTATTTTGCTTTTAGATTACTTAGAAGCTAGCAGATTTCATTAATAATTTATTTATTCTTAAAAGGCTCTGAAATTGTTTATTCTGGCAGACAATAATGGATGATCTTTGAGTTGCTAAAGCAGTTTTTTCCCGTGCATGTAAGAGGATTTAAATGGAAGGACAGACTGCTATTGGTAATCCCGTATTGCTTACAGAATAAGGAAGCACCCAGTCATGCAACTTTGTTTTCTTCTTGGGGTGTGAGGTCAAGCCCTTAGGGGAAGGGAGGAAATGGGCTGTGCGCAACTTCACTACTGCAGCCAGTCCTGGGACTTAAGGGATTTGGAGCTGTGTCTTTTATGATACCAGGGACTTGGAACTAAATGATTTTTAAAGCCTCTTTCAACCCAAACCATTCTGTGGTTAGGTGACTTTATGAGTAGAAGGGAAGATGTTAAGATGCGAGGAGTCCACATTCACTTGTCTATTTATCACAGAAACAGGGCTTCTCTGTTGAATATTGAAGGGCAGGAAAACTTCATTCCCAGCTAAGCCTGCACAAGTAGGAATATGTAATTTAGTTATTGGGAAAAATATTGTGCAACATTGAAACCAGCCAATTCTGAGAGCTGCAAAGTGTTCACTTGAACAGAGACTCAAGTGGGTTGTTTAGACTATTTTTATTCCAGCCCAGAAAGGGATGATAGACTAGATGACTTTTTGAAGTTTCAGCTGGCTGTATGTTTTTGACTTGAGTGTATCATGTAGTTGCAGTAGTTTCCACAACAACTTGGTTATCTAAGACAACAAGGCATCTGCACGTGGTCTGCTCAAATCCTCAACCTCTAATCTGGTGAACTCAAGGCTACAGTGAGAACAATTGGCTGGGCAGAGGCAATGGATGAATTTCTGACTCGGGGATTGGCATTTGAGTGAGCCAACTGGGCTATTGCATGTTCAAGGAATCCACCACGAAGAGATGCCATAAATGATTGTTAGAGCTGATGCCTTGTAGAGAGAGAAGATACAAAACTCCAGGAAACAGGACTTTGTCAGTTCTGCTGCTCTGGTCTATGGGAGTTGCTGACGTGTAACAAGGTCTAAAGCCAGTGTTTTGCCTCTCTACCTGAATGCTGCCCATAATTCTACAGATACACAGGGTGTTTCAATGTACTGTGTGTCTCTCACTGTGTACTTTTTTTCTACTTGCTACCAAATCAGAGGGGGTTTTTTTTGTGTATTTTGTGGGGTGGTTTTTTTTTTGTGTTGTTGTTGTTGTTGTTGTGTTTGGGTTTTTTTTCCTTCACAAGAGTCCCTGCATATTTGGGAAAGGAAACTTATAAACACCACATAAATGACACATTACACATGGCCAGTCAACCTGGAAATATACAGGAGCTGCTTGTTGTAGCTGTACCAGGTGTGGCTGCTTTTCATCAGCTTGCACAGAAGTGTTGTGACTTCAGAGGAGTCACAACACTTCATAGTTATTACAAATAACTTCATAGTTATTACAAATAACTATGGGTAGAACAGTGCTGTGAGGATTTGGTCTTGAATTTTTTCAACCCTTTTGAAGGAGTTAGGCAAGCCTGGCTCTTGGGGCTGGCTGCAGGCCCGATGGGGGCGGGAGCCGGGCATGGAGCTGGGCTATACCTGGCATGGTGGTGCTGAGGGGTGTGGGGTGGTAGGAGGGCTTTACGGGTTGTCTTCATTTAGATGTTACTTGAAAGACATAGTCGTTAAGTTAAAAGCTTTTCCCCCCAAAACTCTGAAAGAGCCGCTGAGCTCCGGGCGGTACACTTAAATATGGTTACGACATGCGTTTCTATATCACGGAGGTTCAGCTGGGTCAGACTCCGTCATAGCAGGTGCTTGATAGCTTGATAGTTGGGGATCGGGAGGGTTTGGGGAAGGATCTCGATTCTCATGACGGCGGCACAGTCCATCACCTGCGCTAGAAAATACTCCTCACAGGCCAGGCCACCAAACCCTGAAGACGCCTCTGAGACTGTCGGGGACAGCGCAGCGGGACGGCCGCCGAACCCGCTGTGCTCGTCACTTTCCGCCACTCTTCGTGTGCCGCCGGATGGCTTCGGCCGTTCCCGTCACTCCTCGGCTCCATTCGGCTGTTTCCGCTCCCGACTCTCCCCGTTGTCGGGGTAACGCAAAGCATCGCGGAGCGAGTGCGGCCTGCGGCGGGCTCTACGCGCAGCAGCCCGCGGCGTGTCGGCCGGCTCTTCATGGTTGTATCTGGGCCCGGCCCGCGACAGAGGGGTTGATCGCGGTCAGCCGGAGGTAAGGGGCGCTTGAGCTGCTGGCGGCGGGGGCGGCCGAATCCACCCGCGGGCGAGAATGTGGTGGCGCGGCCCGCGTGTTTGTCTTCTCGGAGCCGTGGAGTTTGTGGAGCCCCTTGTTCTGTGCCGGCGAGTGGCGATCATGGCCCGGACGGGGAACGCGCGCAGGGTTCGGTCACTCCAGGAGCTGCCCACGGCAGCTTCAGCCTTGGCTCTGCCTGGCACAGGTTCCCCACCCCTTCTCCCTCTGTGCGGGTGCGGGATTCAACCGGGTTTTTGCTGCGTCTGTTTTACTGGTTAGAGAAGATTGTACATAGTCATTAACCATCTTTTTGTAGCACAGAGCAGTTTTGTATTATCTTTTTTTTTTTTTTTTCCTGGCGCTGGCTCTTTTAAACAATTTTAAATTTTAAAACCAGCATTTCTTATAGGTAGAAGATAAAGGAAAGACCTTTGCTTTGGGAGTCTTGCCAGAGAATCTTGTTAAGGCAACTTGGACAGAGACCCCTTTCACCATTTGTGTGGTGACTGGGGGGCTGATGAGTCCACAGCTCCACAGGTACAGCAAACCAAGTTGCTGTCAACCTCGATGAAATGTGATGATAATGTTATGTTTGCCCAATTATCTCATCAAAAAAAACCCAAACAATATTTAAGGTAGCAACAATTTTAATTGAATAGTTTAGAAAATATATAAATAAGGGATAATTTTGTTCAAATAATAGCGCATAAGCAAAAACAACTGCGGGGTACGGAGGGCAGGGTTCTTGACCCTTGCCACTTCACGTACAAGCTTGCCAAGTAAAAGTCACTTCTTATATGCCAAGTGTCAATTCTATCTCCTCTTATTTTCGGTTCGTCACTTTTCTGTCTCCGCCTTCATTACCACTTTTACCACGCATGCACTACCTACCACTCGGTTTGGTGGTTGCACAAGTCTTTGGGGGTCGTCACTGATGAAGGCCCTGTAGTCTTCTTCGTTGTCCTTTAATTCACCTTTGGGTTACACATGCGCACCAAGCCAGTACAATAGAAGCCAAGACTAACGTATCACTGCATCTACATATCAAAGCAATAAGTCCTTTATAATTAGCATTTTCTTGGACCTAACCAGGTTCTTGGTCATTTTTAGCAACTGTATCTTCAGCTTCTTTCCTGTGGTCCTTGAGAACATCTGCTGGGATGGGGGGGTGGGTGGAGCCCCTCTTTTCCATCTCTTCTTTGGCATTACAACTTTTAACTATTAACTGTTTTATTATTCTCAAATATTAATTACTGCATCAATATTGATTACTGTTTCAATTTTTATCAGCACGAATCATACCTATTTACCACAATAACACTGTGACAGAACATAAAAGCAGCTTTTTAAGCACTGTCCCCAAAGACAGAATAGCATATATATTTTTTTCCTGATCGTTGATGTTATTTTGTGAAATATGTGCCTGTGTTCTGGCTCGCTGCTGTCATTTGCAGTCGTTAATGTTGTCTGTAGTGCAATGTTGTCTGTAGGGTGCAGTTGCAGTGCAAGCCGCAGGTTGAGCTTTGGGTGGCCAGAGCAAGAGGCTGTGAACTGCTGACTGCATAACACCAATGGGGACCTGTGGCCCAGCCAGGGACACTCAGAGGCACTCAGCAGCAGCTGACACCCCCCAGACCTTCCCTGCCCTTAAACTGAAAGGGTGTAAAAGCCCGGGGGATCCTTTGTTTGACATTCCTCCTTGGAATTACCAGCTTGAGCTGTAATTTTGTTATTGCACCAAAATGAAATTATTTTAATGATCCAGACATCTGAGACTGCTATGAGAAACCTATGGTTGGGCTGGTAAGGAAAGCTGGTTTGACTGTGGAGGTGTAGCTGCCTTGGTCCCTGCTCAGGCGGTGCGAGAGTGACTGTCAGGGTGGCTTCTGGATGGCTGGACAAGGAAGTTGTCTTAAAAAGAACTTTATGGGATCTCGTAAGAAAGATGGATACAGACTTCTTTCCAGGGCGTGTACTGACAGGATGAAGGACTAATGGTTTAAACTGGCAGAAGTTGTTTTATTGTGAGAAGAAAAGTTTTATTGTGAGGGTGCTGAGGCCCTGGCACAGGGTGCCCAGAGAAGCTGTGGCTGCCCTCAGATTCCTGAAGTGTCCAAGGCCAGGTTGGACAGGATTTGGAGCAGCCTGGGATAGTGTGAGGAGTCTCTGCCCATGGCAGGGGTTGGAACTGGATGAGCTTAAGGTCCCTTCCAAACCATGCTGAGATTCCATGAGGTCTAACCATTTTTAAGAATTGCCTGTGGGCTGTTTCAAAAGTGTCTGTCAGATGTATCTAATTTGATCTTTGAGATCAAGTGTGGGAGCTTGTTTATGTTCTATTCTAAAATACAAAATGGTTAACTTTTTCAGAATTTTTTTTTTTGAAACTTTGAAAAAATAGAACATGCTGGATAGTTTGTAGAGGTGATGTTACTTGGTTTTCTTTTTATTTTTTGAGGACTTTTTTGAAGAGGCAGCTGTCAAAGCTACAGTTTAAATACATGAACTAGCAGTAATCATGTGAGTAATGAATTCCCAAGATCACAGCAAGAAAATGAATGTTGGTTCATTTACACCACTGAGTAATCCACTTATGTAAGCCGTTTATTTATTTGTGTGTAGCAGTCTGCTGCACAACTCTGTGTAGTTACTGTGATGTTGAGGAGTATTTTATATTTGGGGTTGTCCATAATTTACCCAACAGTATCACTGAGTCTTGTTTTAGTAAGTGCCAGTCTGCCATTTTAAATTTACACAGTTTTGGTTGAAAATTTTTTCTTGCTGTCTGTTAATTCCAAAAGTTAAATTATTGAATTGAGCAAGAGATGCAATTTGGAAGCTTGATAAACTTATTTCTGTCATTGAAGGGAACTGAAATATCTGAATAATAATAAGTAATATTAATAACTACAGATGCAAGGAACAACTAAAAGTAGAAAATGGTGTCTATAGAGAAGATATTACAGCTGTATGGCTTGATAAAACTGTTATTTTATATGAAATGTAGCTTTGTTTTCATTTAGGCATCTTACATTTTTGTTTTAATCTGAAGTGAAATTCTTTATTGTTTAAAATTTTGAGCCCATCTAAAGCTTATAGTCAAATATGGACTAAATCCTTCCTCTCTTAGAGGAAAATGAAACAGATAAAATAAGGAGTAAAGTAGTAGTATGGGCACAGAATTCTGGAACAGTACTGGAGATGTAAGAAAACTTTTAAAATACATGAAATCAAGATGAAAAACACTCCAGATTTTATTTGAATGGTTTGTTAGTTTTTTTTTTTTTTTTTTTGTTGTGGGGGTTTTTTTTTTTTTTTTTTTTTTTTTGGTTGTGTGGGTTTTTTTTGGTTTTTTTTTTTGAGTGGTGATAAAACTGGACCATGCAATGCCACTTTGAGAATGGTGAGAATTTTGAAGGATTGTACAGATAAAAGTGAGTGGATCTTGTTGGAAGATGAAATGGTTTGTCCTTAGGGTTACTGCTCTTGGCTGCTCTCATATCCAGTAGTTGATGTTGTTCCTTGTGTGTGTCAGAGGCAAGATACAGAACTCCCAATTTACTGAACAGAGTTGCCCACCTGTCTAAATTAAGTGCCTGGCAAATTAGTTATTTGAGGCACTGACAGAAGATTTAAAGAAAAGAGACCTTAAGAGTCTGTTGATGCCCATTTTACATGCTGGTGGCTCACTGCTGTGCGTGTGTGTGCCTGTGGATTCTGAACTCATGGTTTACCTGTGCAGAAGAAAACATCTCTTCCCCTTAAATGTCACAAGAAGTATTTTAAACATTTCATGCTTGGGGGCTTTTTTGTGTCTATGTTCGTTTGTGTTGTTTTCTTGGGGATCTTGTTTTGTTTTTCTCCGGGTCCTGGCAGGATTCTGTACCTGGGGAGGAATAATCCCATGGACGAGTCCAGGTTGGGGACTGCCCTGCTAGGCAGCATCCCTGTGGGGAAGGATCTGGGGGTCACCAGCTGTCCTTGACCAGCTGTGTGCCCTGGGGCCATGATGGTGGATGGTGGGGTGGGTGAGGGAAGGCATTGCTGGTGGGCTGGGGAGGGGATCCTGCCCCTCTGTTCAGCCCTGGTGAAGCACATCTGGAGCACTGTGTCCGGTTCTGGGAGCTGGGCTGTTGAGCCTTGAGAAGTGACAGCTGAGAGGGGACCTCATCCCTGTCTGACCTCATCCCTGTCTGTCAGTGTCTGTGGGAAAAGCTTAGGAGAATGAACCAGGCTGTGCTCCATGGGGCTCAGCAATGGCTCTAGAGGCAATGGGCAGAAACTGGAACATGGGAATCTTTACTGTGTGGCTGATTAGGCACTGAATAGGCTGCCCCAGAGAGGATGTGAAGTCTCCCTCATTGGGGATATCCAGAATTGTCTGGATACAATCCTATGCCATGTGTTCTGGGAAGACATTGCTTGTGCAGGGAGGCTGGGCCAGTTGATCCACTGAACTCTGTGACTCACTAATTATTTGCTAGGAATTTGAGGTGTTTCGCTCCAGGTGGTTTTGTTTTGAAACTGAGCTGACTGGATCCCATGACACAAATCCAAAGACAATTTCTGTGTATAAATTATTACAAATTATTACTGATGCCCTTGCCCTTGATTTCTGACCCACAACACTGAAAAGGGTTTTGTTCTCATGTTCTTTACTGTGCAACAGCAGCACTTACTTTTTCATTCAAATGTTGGCAACAGTTCCAATATAAATAGCAGATAGTGTGATTTCAACAGTACAAGCTCCTAAGTGGTGACAACTGTTGAAACTTTGAAAGCTGAGACATGAGACTTAACATAAAAGAGTTCAGTTTGTACATTAATTAACGTCTTTGGATTTGAAGCTGCTGGAAGTAGCTTTCTGGTAAATACTAAGTTATTTCAGAGTCCTTTGAAGTAGGCCAGCACAAGCCACTGGTGAGAGACTTGGTACCGGCTTATGTACACTGGGACTCTACAGAGTGTGAGGCTCAGTGTTTCTCCTTTTATTTTTAAATGCCACTCTGACATTGTCATGTCTATGTAGTATATGCAACAAGATAATGCTGTAGTTTTATTTTCCCTCTTGTTTTAACCATATATATGTCATTATATATAGTGCATAAATTCAATATAAACAGCATATATGTAGTGTATATGTATTATCTGCATAAGCAGACCTGATAGAGATGTTTTTATTCCTTGTACAGGTGTGCAGTCTGAGACAGCTCCTGTTTTTATGGCTGTGTACGTGGATCATCGAACAGATGCTCCTGATTCTGTTGCCTCCCCTTCCCATATAGCATGGCACCCACTTCATCCACTCCTGGCAGTTGCTTCCATCAGCACAGCAGGTGGGGGCTGTGTGGATATCTACCTGGAACAGGTGAAAAATCAACAACTTTGCTTTTGTTCTCGATGCAGAGTCACAGAATTGCAGGATGGTTTAGACTGGAAGGGACCTTTAGGATCATCTTGTCCCAACCACTTGCTGTGCACAGGGACACATTCCATAGACCAAGTTGCTCCAAGCCCCATCCAACCTGGCCTTGAATACTTCCAGAGATGTGAGATGTGTGAGAAGTCACACAACTTCTCTCAGCAACCTTTATCATTGTTCTGATTTAAAACTTCATATTTTTAATCTCTGTTTTTGCAGGCTTACTTATCCTCCTGAAGTATCTCTGGGTTTTAATTACTGTCTGTGTCCTGTGCTACATGGAACATGACCCATTCATCAGCCACTCATTATATGTATTTTTTAAAAGATCTTTATAAATTAAATTGATCTTTCCTTTGAAATTTGATGTTTGCCGTCTATAAGTCTTGTTTGTGATGATTACTGATTTGCTTTTTGCTTCTCATAGTGTGAGATTTTCAGACTTGTATGTAAATGAACACATGCTGCTGCTGCTTTTTAACTCTTAAGTGAATAGAACATACTAAGAAATGGAAACTGAACAAATCACTCTACCACCTCAAGACTAAATTGATTTTCTGCCTGTAGACAGATATTTCTTTTGCATACTCTAACTTTTACATGAGAGCCTTGTGTAAGACTTTGGTTTGCATAATTTTAGAGAAGTAGCACTAAAAGTATCTAAGTCTGCAGCAGACTTACTGAAACATGTCTCTTAATACAATAGCCTATAAAATGTGTACTTTTCAAAGTGTATTCTGAAAAATTGTTATCCAAGTTTAAAAAATGGAAAAAGAAATACTTAGAGAGGTTAAATGATTTGCATGAAATATTCTTGTGAACCATGCCTAAAGGAGGATCTGCTTTAAGAGCTGTTGAAGCATTAGATTATTCTATGTCCTTAGTGATGTGCTTTGTTCTTTTTCAATAGCTGGAACTTTTTTTTACTTTGAAATATGCTTGAAGCCTTCTTATATCCTTTATATGGAAGAGAAAGCTTGATATTGACTGGGCTATGAATTGGAAGGTTTGGTTGCTGAGTTTCCACTGGACTGAGCTCACACTGATTTTTGTTTGCAGGGAGAACATGTGCCTGATTGCCATGCTGAGAGAAGCTTTCAGGTCACATTACTTGCCTGGCACCCTTCCAGACCCATTCTGGCATCAGGATGGGAGACAGGAGGAGTTCTGATACTGAACAAACAAGACAAGGAGCAGCACACTGTACCCCCAAATCACAGCGTCAAAATCACAGTCCTGAGCTGGAGTACAAGTGGTACCTGCCTTGTGTCTGGGGATGGGGTGAGTAGCTGAAATGCCATATGGGTTTGATGTGGAACACAGTCTTGGAAGCTCTGTAATAGGAAAAGATCATGGAAAGGAGATCAATGGGGAAGGGAGACTTGTGTGGGAGGGAAATTTCTTTTCCTTAGGTACAAATTAAAACTGATAGGGAATAAAATAAAGTCGTAGTGTTTTAATTTTTTCTACAATATTATTCTACAATTAAAGAATTGCCATTCTATAATTTTTCTTTAAATAAAATTGTGTTGGATCTCAGTGAGTGCTGAGCACTGATGAAGGTTTAAGGCTATTTAATGGATGGAGCAATAGAGGTATAGACCATTTGAATTCTTTTGCTCCTGTCCATGCACAAGTTTTAGGGCAGACTCAAGAACAGCTGTTGAGAAACAAATTCCAGCTATAACATATTCATCCATACTGAGTGCAGAGCAGTGCTCACAGGAAACCCATGTTAATCTCTCTTTTTCTGGTTTTATGAATGCCTTAGTATTGTGTCATATTGATTGTATTGGGAAATGTGACACACTATTTCTTGATGAACTGGTTCCCCTTTTACATAGTGAAGTGAGAAAGTAGCTATTGAATATTCAGGATTAAGTATTCATAGAAGATTCTGATTTTGCCAGTTCCTGAGTCAGCAAATGAAGAAAAAATTGCATTTTTTTTTCCTGTATTTTCCCTGATTCAAACTTGAGCTTGCACAAGAATTTCAGTTCTGCTCTTACCTATATGTTAGAATTCCCAATATTCTTATTGGGAGGAAAAGTTATTTTTATTCATTGTTTGTAAAGTTCTGCTGCTGCATTTGACAGAAATGCAGAAATTCAAAATTGAGTAAAAAGAGAATTTATCATCTTCTTTTTTAGAAAAGAGAAAGTTCTTGCCAGGCAAAAGATAGACACATCTCAGTGTAGCTGAGGCCTTAATCATAATGAGCCAATACATGTATATAGACAGAACTTACATTTATGAACAAAATACTTTTCAAATTGATTTCAAACCAGTGTCACTATGCTATGCTCTGAGGTGTAGCACAGATAGACTTAATTTCTTACGTATTATCCAATAGTTTATATGTTTATTTTTAATATTTTTCCCTTGAGGGCTTATTTTTAGGAAACTTCCATTAGGTGAGCGCTGCCAGGATCATGTTCTGCTTATATTAGAGGAAATTCTTTAGAAATAAGATAAATATTTGGATCCTGATTAAGTTTCTGTTTCACCTAGAGGCTGGTTGGACACTGGAAAGGCTCCCCAGGGAAAGCTCAGAGCTGCAAGGCTTCCAGAGCTCCAGGAGCCTTGGGACAAGCACTGGGGCACAGGGTGGGGTTGTTGGGTTGTCTGTGCAGGCCAGGAGTTGGGCTTGATGATCTGTGTGAGTCACTTCCAACTGAGCATATTCTATGATTCTACCTTCACTAGGATTTCTGTCATTGTACATCCTGAAATGCAAGAAAATTATTTGAAAATAACTTCATAAAGTTGGAATAGGATACTGTGAAAATCAGAAGCTTTTATTTTGTTTTAAGTAAAAAGAACATGAGTGATTTCCACGTTTTGATCACACAGAGGATATAGGTGCTTTCTATAATGAAAGCCTATTTGTAAGGCAAATTGCTTTCATACCAAGTAACTTAAAGCTTCATGTTTTTAAAAATTATTGGGAAGTTACAGAATGGAATCAGAGAATATCTCCATTTGGAAAGGACATTTAGATAGATGATAAGGTCAATGTCCTGTGTCCTTTAAAAATATCATTTGAAAACAGATGAGTTCTGCATCCTTTCCAGTGTGACTTAGGAGAGGTTGTGAGCCTTTTTTGTTTCCAATCTCCTGTGCTTCTAACTAAGAATTGAGATTGTGCAAGTCGGTTATCTGGATACAGGCTGGAATATCTAGAAGGAGGTGGAACGAAGGTCAGCAGCTTTAGAAAGCTGCAGGCTTTTCCTCCAGCTTATGAATGGTGCAGGTGATTTTAGTTGGGATCCTTGGAAATTGGTGGCATATAAAGCTGATGGAAGAGTGAGAGGAGGAACCAACAAGGTTGGTTCATAGGATCCTGTGATGTTCAGAGGTAACTAGCAAACATTTTATGAACTGCAAGTATCCTCTTGGGACAGGAGCACAGCAGTGTCACTGTTGCACAGATGAGTGGCATTCTTTAACCTGCAGACACATAGCACTTAATAAACAGTTTTGGATGGTATGACTATTGCCATCTTACTGTTGAAAAGAAGTTAGAAGTTAGAATCGTAGGAAAAACAGAAGGAAATGTTACTTTGGAAGGCCTCAGCTGCATCTTATGTGTCTTCTAGTTAGAATTGTGAAGAATAAGTGACCATTGTTTGCTACCACTTCCAGGAAAAAGATGATATTTCATTGAAAACAATAAATAAAAATAGAGTGAATTCTAATACCACTTTATGGTTGTCTATCTTAATAAAATAAAATGAGAATGAATTTGATATTGAAAATTGTTGCTGGGTTTTTTTATGTAGTGCTTACATGGAACGTTCCTAAACGCAATTTGGTTTCATAAGCACTAGCATAACAACAACAATAGATAATCTTCTTAGCATTCCAACTGTGAGGATATACTGTAAGTCAGTTTATTGGAATTTGTCTCCACACTTTTTAGTCACCAGGGGTTTATTGCTCCTGAGCTGCCGCTGCAGGGTGTGAGTTATGTCAGCACCTGTGCCAGGCTCAAGGGCTGGCCTGTGAGTTAATTAGCTAATCAGACTTCCTTTCTTTAGCATATATGATTTTTCTAGTTACTAGATTATTTTTCTAAAAGTAAACTCTTGATTTTTCTAAAAGTAAGCTCTTGAATGTCTGCTCCGAAAGAGGAGGAAAGCTCCAGAAATTAAAAAATTCTGCCCTTAGTCTTTCTACACCCTGTGACTTTACATGTCTAATCATATACCCATGCTCATCTACATCAGTTTTATATACACTTACTGAGGGATGCATGTGCTCTGCTATCCTTTATTTCAATTGCTAAAAAATAAGCTATCAGACTACTTTCAAGAAAGAATGTGGAAAGGACATTATCAAGACAAATATTTACATCTGCTACTTACAGAAGAAAACTAAGACTGTTCCATGTAATTGCTCTGGCAGTGTGATTTAACTAAAAAAGGATAGGGCCAATAAGCTTTTTTTAGATAATTTGATTTTAAGGGAGCAAATAATATAATGTTAAAGATAGCTTTGGTTCCCTGTGGCTTAGTTTTAAGTGGGTGTAATTGTATGTGTCAACTAAACAAAAGGAAGGGGTTGCTCCATCAATAAAACATTTATTTTTATGTGCAGTGATTAGCTTGAGTCTGAATTCTCATCTGTGTGCAAAGGGTAATGAATTAACTTGTCTTTTTCTAGCACGGTGTCTTGTGTCTGTGGAAAATGGACCATCGGGGCAGAGTGCAGGGTCCTGCCCTGGTTAAGCAGGAGTATGGGAAATGCTTGTGGCACTGTGTCTTTTGGCCACCCCCTCCTAGTGAGTGAGTATTGGCCCCATCAGAGCTCTGACAGACCAAGTCTTTGTCTTGTTCCACAGAAAGAAAGTCCTACCCACAAATAGACTGTTTAAAAATATATAAAAATGTTCTTTTCCTAACTGCCCTATATTTCCAAGCTCTTCTCCCACTCTGATAGCTGGCTCTGTGTCCTGTGTGCAGTAACTGCTCCTCTTTCTCTTCTCCACATCATCTGTTGGTTGCTGTTGACTCTTCTGTCTTAGTTTTCTAATTAGCAATATTGCTGATTGTGGAAAGCCATAAACACACTGGAAACACAATTATCATTATATTCTTGTCAAAAATAATTAAAAGTCAGTTCTTAAACATTATTATTTCTTTCCTGTCCAAGCAAGAAATAGGAAGCAGCTGCAGTGAAAAATCATAGTTCTCCTTGTCTGGGCTTTTCTGTTTTACATCTCTGAAAAAATAATGACGTGTTTTGAAAAAAAGGTGAAATAATGCAAACGAAAACTAATATTGAAATTTTGTTTTGTATTTTTTTGAGTCCGCCCTTTTTTTCAGTCAGTGTATGAAATATTTGTTCTCTTTATACAATATGCTTTATTAACTTCTCATCCATTCTTTGAGACTGAAACTACAGTTATGAAAAGAATTAGGAGTGAAGTATCTCTCTTTTCAGGGACTTTGTACAGCTGGCAAAAGCAGCTGTGAGTGGTGATGAGAAAGCCTTGGATATGTTTAACTGGAAGAAAGCTGGAATAGGACCACCTCTGAAAACAGCAGTCCAGGAAGGACTCTCCTTCTTTATCACTTTGGCAGATGGTAAGAGCAAAACCACTTTTCCATTTGGCTGGGAAGTTGTTTCCTTAGAGCTTCAAAATAGCCCAGTGCATGATAGTCTTGGGGTATATTCATATATCCCTCATATTCATATATTCAATAGGGTAGAGTATTCTATAGGAGTTGTAGAATGTTTGGTAAGAAATGAATAAAACTACTCATATCTTCAGGATGGTTTTGTTCACAAGGGTACCAGAGGTACTGGGTTAGTCAGGTTCCGAAGAAGTGAGTATGAGGAAAACAATCTCTAACACACAAGTGTAGATAAAATTAGCTTTTGTGCAAAGCTTCAAAATAATGCATGTGTTCTTTTTTCTATAAATAGGCAAATTCTGCTAAAACATACGTCTTAAATTCTCAATTTTCTTTTCACTTTTTTGTCATGCTTTGAAATGATGCTTCAGTCTTATGGACTAACAAAAAGTCTGAGAATCTGTTTTGTTTAGTTTGCTGCCTAATAGTGTTTCTTCTCCGTATTTTCCTCTTCCTTGCCTTTTACTCTTCCCTGTCTTTTCCTATCCTTTTTAGTCTTCTGGGTACTAGTTTGCTCTAAGCTAACTTTCTTCCCACCCCAAATTTTTTTGTGATGCCATCGCTCTGTAATTTGCTCTCTCTGAACTGGAGCCAAAATGTGTGTGAGAAGTTGCATAATCAGTGTTTCTGGTAGGTGATTCGAGTCATCCTGTTGATTCAAGTGTTAACTGTTCTGAAAACGTTTCAGTTATGCTGGTTCTGCAGGTCCGTTACAATTTGATTCAGTGTTGTACCAAAATTGCCACCCCTTGTTTACACCAGTAGGGCTTGCAGGAGGGGCATGGGCCAGCTGCGTGGTTGGTTTGCAGTGTACCTTCTTTTAATGTGTGAATACAAGCCTCTTTACTTGAAGGGTACCATTTAAATGGAAAATGGACACAAGGTACTTCATAAAGATACAGGGAGAGAAGCTTTAGGAAGCTGTGCCCATTCTGTCCTCACCTTCAAAGCTGCTGTTGTGATGGTGCAGAGCCCCATCTAGGGACAGGCTGTGTGTCCTGCAGGTGCTGTCCTGGCCTTGGGCCTCTGCCTCGGGTTGAGACAAGTCAGGAGGAAACGTCCTGAAAGGGGCATCTCCTCTGAAAAACAGGCCGGTTTGCGGCATAGCCTCTTCCCATCAGACGAAAGGAATTTCTTGGAGAAAAGGGAAAAAACCTGTTTATTTAACACAGAGAGTGCGCGCCGGCACGGGAGCAAGAATGAATAATGTTAGATGTGAAAACCTTCTCGCTGTGGAGAAAGCTGGTGGATTTGAGAGTCCTGCTTGGCTTCTCCCGAGGTCTGGAGCCGGGTGTCCCTGCAGCCTCCCCCCTCTGGGCCGCGGCGTGGGACTCCCGATGATGGCCTGGTGTTTTGGGCTGGAGCAAAGCCGAACAGTTCCAGAAGAAGAAGCCACAGTCCCGGGAAAAACTTCTTGACTCAACTAACATTAAAAAGCTAGCTACAAGCAAAAGAATTCAACTGTCTTCTCTCCTGAGAAAGAGCGGGGGAGAGTCTGTGTTTGAACACAAACTGATGAAAGAATTTCCCCGGCTTCTCCCCCTCTCTCGGACCTAGCTTAAAGTTACAGAACATGTGTCTGGGCATAAAGTAGATGATAAGGGATACAGTATTATAAAGTCACCCCAAGACAGCCTCCTTGTCATACTTCTCAAATTTCAATCAAATGATACTGTCTGACTGTTCCTTGTGAGCAGCTTCATTGCTTGGGTTAGTTTGAGTGTATGTATTTTGGACTCAGTTTTTAATCTAGTAATGATCTGCTCTAACTCCCAAATGTCCTGAGAAGAACTTGGAGGTGCTGGTGAGTGAGAGCTGGTCATGCCCCAGTTGTGTGTGCTGGCTCCCAGAAATACCCTGTGTGCTGGGCTGATCCCACAGTATGGGCAGCAGGGGAGGGGGGGATTTTGCACCTCAGCCCCACTCAGGTGAGACCCCACCTGCAGAGTTGCCTCCAGCTCTGGGGTTATCAGCACAGGGGTGACATGGAGCTGTTGGAATGAGTATGGAGGAGGCCATGTGGATGCTTCATGGACTGGAGCCCCTCTGCTCTAGAGTTAAGGGAGAACCTGGAGAAGAGAAGGCTTCAGGGAGAGCTCAGAGCCCCTTGCAGTGCTTAAGGGGACTCTGAGAGAGCTGGAGAGGGACTTTGGAGGGCTTGCAGGGACAAAACAAGGAAACGGCTTCCCACTCCCAGAGGACATGGTTAGATGGGATATTGGGAAGGAATTGTTCCCTGTGAGAGTGCTGAGGCCCTGGCACAGGGTGCCCAGAGAAGCTGTGGCTGCCCCTGGATCCCTGGAAGCATTCAAGGCCAGGCTGGATGAGGCTTGGAGCAACCTGGACTAGTGGGAGGTGTCCCTGCCCGTGGCAAGAGGATTAAAAAGAGATTCATTTTTAAAGTCCCTTCAAAACCAAAATGTGTTGTGATTTAAGAAGATGAGGATATCTATTGCAGGGAGAAAATAAAGCAGTGGGACAGGACTTCGATGGGCCATAGAGTAGCCACAGGCCCAGCACAGAGAGCACCCCCTGTGCTGGATGCTGCTGGGGCACCTGGATTCTGGGCCTCTCATGACAAGAAAGACCTTAAGGGGCTAGAGTGTGTCCTGAGAAGGGAACAGAGCTGGAATAGCGTCTGGAGCACAAGTCTGATGAGGAGCAGCTGAGAGAGCTGGGGGGCTCAGCTTGGAGAAAAGGAAGCTCAGGGAGGACCTTCTGGCTCTGCACAACTCCCTGATGTTCAGGCAGGTGGGGATTTGGGCTCTGCTCCTAGGGAGCAAGGAACAGGACAAGGGGAAACAGCTTCAAGTTGTGCCAGGGGAGGGCAGACTGGTGGAAGGAATTTCTTTGCAGGAAGGGTTGTTAGGCATGGGAATGGGCTGCCCTGGGCAGTGGTGGAGTGATCATCCCAGGAAGTGTTCAAAAATGACTAGATGTGGCACTTCACTGTATGGTTATTGGGTGTGGTGCTACTTGGTCCAAAGTTGGACTTGATGATTTTGGAGGTCTTTTCCACCCTAAATGATTCTGTGATTGTATGATTATAGAGTAGTACAACTTAATGACGTTATAACGGCTTTTAAAATGTTGATGGGTGCATTAGTTACCGATGTCAGTGTTTTTAGAAAAACACCGTCCCATTTGCCAGTCAGATTATGGATTAAAGCTGAATTTGGTGTGTGGTGCAGTGTTTCCTAACCAATGAAGAACTTCAGGTCTGCACTTTTCCATCATCTCAACTCTGCTGTAAATTGAACCAATTCTTAGCTGCCATTCTTCTTTCACAGTTTTTTTTTCTAAGACTGAAGGTTTCAGATGCTATAATCTGAAAGTTTATTTGCAGTTTAAAATTATTTAAAGTATTCCCCTTTGGATCTTCTAAATGGGGAAAAATATGCTTTGGTTTATTGCTCTGGTCAGCTATTGTACTGTCTATCCCGAGAGGAACTAGAAAATGAAAGAATTTTTGTTATTTTTACATTTTCAGCACTTGAGGAATGTTTTATTAAGGTAGAGAGCATCAACTTTGGCTTTTGTAGCTAAAAGATGTCAACTAAAATCTGCACCTGATTTATTTGTCCTTCAGGTTCTGTGCACTATGTGAATGAGAAAGGGAAGACAAGGCAGATATTGTCTACGGACAGTCTGGTCCGAAAGCTCCTGTTGCTAGAGGAAAGAGATGTTTTACTTGTAATAACAGAGACTCTGCAGTTGTCTTTACATGCAGTTTCTCCCGAGGGAGAAGCAGAAGAGCTCATGAAGGTAAGAGTCATACTACAGGATAAAGTTGCAATATTTATTCTTTATAAGTTTGTTTCGTTTTTTGATTATCACTATTTTGCTTTCAAATGAATCAACTCTCATATTTGTTTCTCAGATAATATGTTGATGAGGAAGCAAATAGCTTATCTAAAAGTGGAATAGAATGATGTGGTACTGAACTTGGAAAGATGGTTTTCATCTTTTCTTCCAGTTTTTTCATAGTTCTTTTCATTTTGACCCTATCTTAATTCTTTTACACTTACTTTCAGTTTCTTAGTGAATTACAGAAAAACTGGAAATTCCAGTTGTCCTGGTTGCAGAGGTGGGTGGTGCTTAGCACCATGTAGGTGCAGCTAAGTTATTCTATACCACCTATATCATCACTGTTTTCGTGGAGAAAACACACACACCCCATTAAGTGGGCACCATTCTGCCTTGCTCTCTCTCATGGGGAGGTTGTCAGCATCAGCCCTGCAGACTGTCTTCTGCCCTGCCATCCACCCTCTTCTGTTTTCCCTGAGACACTATGGGATATGGTGCTGAAAGGAAAGCAACAGAACACAGAACTGATGTATGTTGAATGGCAGCACTAATGGGGAGACCGTGGGCAGGGGGCAGGGAAGGCCCCAGTCCAGCCCAAGGGAGCCCAGCCGAGCCCAGTCCAGCCAAGCCCATTCCAGCTAAGCCAGGCCAAAAGGAGTGCAGCAGAACTTCAGGGAAGTGGCAGCAACCTGTAGGATCAACACCCAGTATGGCAGAGCAGTAGAAGCAATGGTGCAGGCACTTGTGTGGAACTGAGCCTAGCAGGGCATCCATCTTGGATGACCCAGTTTTGGGGAGGGTCTGTTTGCTGTTGTTTTTTGTTGTCTTGGTCTGGGAGGGGCGGGAAGCCTCTTGCCATACTGCCTTTGTTTGCGACAGCACGTGGGAGCCTGGGGAAGTCAAGTGAACGCAACCTATGGGGACCATCCACCATTTTGGTTTTGGTCTCAGCAACCACATAAAATTAATTTTTTGTGGCTGAAGCACTTTCTGGTTTTGGATATTTTTAAAAATTCATATTGATGTTTCTTATTCCACTGCTTTTTGCTCTCAGTAAATTATCTCAATCCATACTCTCTGCACGTCTCCCTCCCTTACTGGAAGGGGCAGGAGAAGGGCCATGGCTTATTTGGCATTTAATTTTTTGCTGGTGTTAAGCCACCACATTTAATTGGTGCCCAAGTTAAGGCTCAAGAGGATTGAGATAACTTTGATCTAAGTGTTTGTGTTTTAGGTAGAGAGCTCCCTGGTTCTAGTGTTGCTTGGTCTGTTCATGTGGGTATGATACCTAACCCTGCATATGCTCCCGTGTATGCGCTGTGTATCCACCACAGTGATCTGTTTCACTGTGACCTGGGAAGCATGCCCTCATTGATATGTCTGATAGGTTTCCTCTGTCCAGTGTACACCATGTTAAGATTTAGGACAGAGATTTCTAGGGAAGTTGTCCATAAACATGTCCTGGGATGGATAGTCATTAGTGGTGTGGCATGTAGGAGAAAATGGGCCAGCTTTTGAAAGAGTACTCTACTCCTGGTTTGGAAGTTCACCCCTGAACAACTACAGGGCCCTGATAAAGTGTTTGAAAGAGAATTGCTGTGGCAGTTCCAGAGAGGTGCAAAGTTATGGGATGTGCTGGACAGTGGCTACTGTTTATTGGACACTGTTTTTATGCAGCACCCTCAGAGGGAGGAGGAGGAAAGCAAAGCAGCAGGCATTATGGCCATTCAAACTGCAGCTTACCCACAAGAGCAATCTGTGCTAAGAGCAGTTGCCTGTATTCAGAAGAAGAAATCCAAGACCAAACCAGTTCATGTAGTGAGTGATGAAAAGGAAGCAGGGCCTTCACAACAGGAGGAAGAGACAGGGCCAGAGATAATCACCCAAACCCTATCCCTGAGTGAGCTGCAAGACATGCAAAACGATTTCTCACTCCAGTCAGGTGAGCCCCTGGTGACCTGGGTGCTCTGATACTGGGCTGTCATGGCCCATGATATGAAATTAGATGGTAGTGACACTTTGCAACTGGGATCCATGTCCTGGCATGCAAGTATTGACCACAGGATTGGGAAAGGACCAGAAACTCTCAGCCTCTGGACGCAACTCCTGTCAAATGTGAGGGAAAGGTTTCCTTGGAAAGATGACCTTTTAGTGCACTGAGACAAGTGGAACACTATGGAGCAAGGTATCTGGTGCCTGAGAGAATTAGCTGTGCTGGAGATATTTTTAAATAATGAGCAATTCCTTACTAATCCAGACAATATCCAGTGTTTGCAAAACATACAGCAGAAGTTCTTGCTGAGTGTGCTGATGTCATATGCCTACTCATTGGGAGTGATGTAATGGAAAGAAGGAGAACAAAACGTGGACTATTTGGTTACCAAACCTCAGATATATGAAGAAACTATCTCCAGCCCATTATGGGCCCATGTGTCCTCAGTGGAAAGACTGACAGAGGATCTCCAGAAATTAAAAGAGGAAATTAACGAGAAAATGTCTCACACCCTGCCCTGTGCTATTACAAAATGCTGCTTGTCGGTAGACCCCAAACCTTCACTTTTCTGAGATGTTTTTTTCTTTTTATCCACGGCAGAAAAACACTGGACACGTGTATTACAGCAGTGTCCACTTCTTATTGATCATTACTTATGTTTGACTAGAAGTAAGATCTGGAACTTCACATTTTAAAGCAATCTTTATTAAATTCTAAGAGAAGTTCTAGTGCAAGAGTAAAATACTGCTCCTTATCTACTTAATTAACCCACTCCAGGATTTCTTCTGTTAAATTTATACATTGCACTCTTGATGTATTTTATGGTGATCATTGTCAGAATCATCTGAATTCACTGTCTGAATATGTCTGAATTGACATATAGGTCTAGTTATTTTCATATTTTTACTGTTTAGCCAAACTGTGCAGTTCAGATGCTCAGTGTCCTTCAGTGTGCTCCTCTGACCTTTTGTAAATGTATTTATTTGCTAATGGTTAACAGGTGAAGTTGAGTGGGAAGACTGGTCATTCTGCAGACATGATTCTAGTAGACCATAGCCTGGTTGTTACAGCACTAGGTGAGACAGTCATCAGGTAAGAATCAAAGTTGATCTGGCTGCCCCTGAGAAGGGCCAGCTAAAAGGTACAGTCTGCAATGAACTGAGTATTTTGCTGACATGTTGGTTGGGGGTTTTTTACCAATAATGAAAAAATCCCAACATTTCCTAATTTTGTTTGTAAAAATAAGCAGAGAAATTAAATGATTTTTTTTTTCTCAAGGACAGAAACTAATTTGGTATGGCTTGCTTTCTCTCTAGGTATTTTATTTTGTCAGGCAGTGCTACCTATTCTGTTCCTTCCTTGAGTGCTGTTACTGGTTTATTCTGAAAATAAATCCAGTTGGGGGTTTTGCATGAAAATGCAGCCCCTTTGCCATTCTTGCCTATGTTACTTTCTGATCCTTAGGATACTCATGGCATCAGCAACCAGAAAGAAATTGCTTACTTTTCAGGACATTTATTTTACTGTAATATAAGACAAGTATTTAAATTACTTATTTCCCTAATCCTTCAAAGTATGTTGCTTTGCCATGCTGTTATGTTACTGTGTTCTGTAGTTTTACCTTTTTTGCAATGTTATATACCTTGTCTTTACTATGACCTGCTCTACCTGTTCCTCTAACCTTTGGGAGGATGGGAGTGTTCCATTAATATCAGTATTTCCCTTTATTGAGCCTCTGTCTGCTACTGTCAGACAGAATCTTTTGTTCATTTTGTGAGAATGCAATAAAGACCAAGTATCAAGAAGGAATAGCTTCATGGCAGTATTTAGTTATAAAAAATAAATCTGGAATCCAAAGGACTACTGACTAACACAGGAATATTCTTAAAATAGAGGAGAAGCATAATTAGGGAGGAAAAAAATTGCAACTGGCCCTCACTTCTTTAATTTGTTTTAAAGCTGCACTTGCTTCTGACTTCTTTCTTCCTAGGAGAATATCCCAAAACATGCTGCAGATTAAAAACTCAAAGGAAGAGGAGGAGATTGTTAAGGAATTCACACTCCCCAGGCAGCTTCTGACAATTTAATTTTAAAAATTAAATGATCTAGGTATTGTGGAAATAGTAAGTTAATGCCATGTACAGCATCCTGTTGACTGGGTTTGGCAAGACACTTGGAATGAAAAGCATTTTTAACACCCTTGTTTTGTGTGCCTTAGGTTCTGGGATTTGGATCAAGACGAGAACTATGTGCTCTCCCTAGATATGCAATTTGGCTTTGAGGGGGGAGAATGTATTAACTGTGTCTCTTACTGCAGTGCTAAAGGTGAGAAATAACGTGGTAGCTGTGATCTCTGGTGCCAAACCTTGTCAAACCTCAGCCTTCCATGCCCTGTAATAATTTCAGTATGTTTGCCTTGTCACTGAGGATCTCAGTGGTAGTATGTGATATTGAAGATTTTAGTTTGGATCGGAAATATGCCTTGAAAGGTGCAGGGAAATAATTCAATACTCTTGGACTCACTGTGGAGCTGTCTTGTGGCATATGAGCTGGATTCCCTTTGACACCAGTACCCCTGGAGTGTCCCTAATGAACTCCAGCATGTTTTGGGCATTCAGTCTACAAGGCTGCACTACAGCTAATGCAGAATAGAGCTTAGTGACATGTATTGTGTGTGTGCCTGGTCCTTACAACAGCTCCTTTTTACAGACCTGCTCCTGGGCACCACCTTGTTTGCTAGCATAGGCACAGCTGATACCTGCTGCAGTGCTTTTCAGTGGTTGGTTGCCCAAAGTGACTACAAAACTAGCTATTTAAAAATAAACACAAGCCATGGGAGGAATGGCTGAGACTGGGGGGTGCATGCATGAGCTTCCTCATGAGAGCCGGATCTGACCTCTGCTTTTTGTGAGCAGTGACAGGACCCAAGGAAACAGCCGTAGCTGTGTCCAGCCAGGGGAGGGTTAGACTGCATATCAAAAGTTTCTCCACCCAGAGGGTGGTCAGGCACTGAGCAGGAAGTGGGGACAACCCCAAGGCTGCCAGAGGTAAAGGAAGCTTCTGGACAGCACTCTCAGGCACATATTGGGATTGCTGGCACTGTCCTGTGCAGGGCCAGGAGCTGGATTGGATGACCCTTGGGGACTCTTCCAGCTCTGGATATTCAATAGTTCTATATTTTAAGAAAATGTTAAAATGAAGTAATTGTCTGATGCATTTAAAAAATCACTTCATCTGGTAGCTTAGAAGATGCACCTTACCATGTGGAACTTCTCCCATTGTTTCTTCAGAAAAGTTCTCCAGTGCAGGACTAGGATGTTGGTTTGCAGTGAGGAGACAAATGCTGCTGCTAGGAAGTGGCTTCTCAGTACCCAAGAACCAGAGCTTGCTGCCTGTTACATTGTGTAATGTGGGTTTGTTTTTCTGAAGCCCAAGATGAAATGCCTGAAATGTTTGTGAATGGCAGGTATCTTGGCAGCTGGAACTAGCAAGGGGAGAGTAGCAATGTGGAAGAAAGCAGCAGGATCTTGTCAGAGCACATGGGCTTCTGAAGGCAAGGTGAAGTGGAAGTTCCAAGCATCTACAGAACTTGAAGGAAATGTCACTCAGATAAAGGTAAAAAAGGAAAGAGCCTCCTTGAATGTAAGTGTACTTCACAAACCTTAGATGAAATGACCATCTTTGTGAAACCAGTGAACATGATCTCTATCATATGGGTATGTGTTCCAGAAGTAGGAGGAAAACCCCTGAGAATCAAGTAACTTTTAAAATTGGATGGGCAGAATACTCCCTGTTTGTAGCTAGTCCCTCCATCATATTGCTCGCTGGCAAAACCTTTGGATTCAGCTCCCTGAAATTATTTTCTGGGAAAAAAAAGGATTATCAGGAATGTCAATTTTACTTAAATTTATTAAGAAGACAAGAAAATCTGACTAAATGAATGATTTTATTAGTTAATGGTTTTTTTCTATTGTCACTTTTTCAGTGTAAAGTTTCATCTCACTGGTAGTTGTGAAAATAAAAATATATATTTACAACCAAATATTCTTTGGTGAGATGTGCCACCTAGAAAGGAATACTATATATTTTAACATATTGTCTGTTAAATGTCGGGATGCAGCATTTTTATTTATTTGGAATATTTTATCACAATGAGGTTAAACATTGTCATTCTATGCCTAATAGCATTTTGATATGCTCAGAAGAGAAGTGCTCAGTGTAACAATCATAAATTTAAATTTAAAAAGTTTTATATTAATGCACAGCTTTTTTTTTGCCACCAGCATTCTGCTAAAAAGGCAAAGCTTGTGCTTTAGGTTCTCCAGCATCTTTGGTTGTTGGGTTTTATACCATATTATTAGGTTTTTTCAATTTTTGAGTGTTTCTGTTATACTTTACATCATTCTGTTGCTGTGCTTCATATGTGAGAACAATCCCCATTATTTTTATAAGGAAAGAAATTCAAATATATCTGGTGACTTTCAAGAGAAAGTAATTTTATATTTGTTATTATTCTGTTTTCTCATAAGAGTGGAAAGTATTTTAAAAGCAATGGTATTTGCTTGCTCTGTGTTGGTATAGAGTGAGGGTCTGTAACACCATCCTACTTACAAAGTTAAAACAGAAGTGCTGTGAAAATGGAGAATCTGAGTGTTTTATTAACAAGCTTCAGTAACTAAAAGATCCAGGATATAGGAAATAAAGTGTGCTGTAAGTACCTCGTACATCTCCTAATAGCCACAGGTGATTGTGTCAGCTTTCCCATTCAAGCCTTTTCCAGGTAACAGGATATGGAGCACTGTCCAGAGATAGCACATCCCCTGCAGCCCCTGTAACTACAGCAAAGGGGAAATCGGTCATTGGGCTTTTTAATTGTTTTTTGTTTGTTCTGTTTTTTGGGTTTTTTTTTCCTAGTAAAGAACTGTTATTCCTTTTCCCATTTTTTTTCTTGGAAGCTCTGTATTTTTGAAATTGTAATAATTTGGAGGGAGGGGGCCAGCTTTCCATTCCAGGAAGGTTCCTGCCTTCCTTGGCAAACATATCTTTTAAACCAGGATGTTAATTGGTGACCAGTGTGGGGCTCAAGGGCATTGAGAGAAAAGGGTGAAAAGAGAGTACTAATTCTTGAGTAACCTATTTGTGTATTGGATGTAGAAACCTTGTTGGGCAGCACTGTGTGGTCTAGCCTACCCTGGTTTGGTTGGCATGTGATCATGGCTATGTTTTTCCTGTTTGCAGGTCATTTATTCAAACATGGGTCCTATAACTTAGGCCTTTACCCTGTTTGTAGAATGGCTCAATAAGGTGAGGAATTCAGTGCTCGTAAACTTCATCTGAAATGTGGGCACAAGGCTATATAACTATCACACATGAGGTCTGTATCTTTGGGGTTTCCTTAATAATGCTACCTACTGAGAGGAAGCAACACAGGACGGAGTTTTCTCCCAACCCTTCACCCACTTCTTTGGGCCTACAACAACAGCTGCTGAAGAGTTAAATTTCCCTTAGAAGTTAAAGATATTTTTTTTTAATGTTTTTATTCAGTGACGTCCATTCACCATTCAGAGACAGAGTGAGGTTACCTTGTGTAGCTGCCTCAAAACCTGCCACAGAGGTCAGGGACACTGTCCAGCAAAACCACTGCAGTCAGAGGGAAAGGTGGATAGCACAGTAGTGAAACAAACAAATGTTACAAATGTCCAGGTTCCGGCTAAACCACAGGGGCAGCCACAGCCAGCAGCAGCAGTCGGCCCTTTGCAGTGAGGAAGGATAAACCCATTAGGTGTGCCCAGCTCATGATGATGCAGAACCAGGGCCCTCAAAGCCAGCAGAGGAGCCTGAGATCATCGCTGAGTCCCTGTTGCTTGACAGTCTCTGCAGTCTGTGAAAAGACATTGCGTGTTTAGGGGGTGAGGCTTTTTTGGCTTGGTTGATTCAAGTTTGGGACTTTACACATACAGGCATGCAACTTGATGGTGCCAAAACAAGACTTGGGACCCTTGGCCAAGGGTGTGGCCATTGAGCAGGCGTTCGTGAGGGAGTCAGGACGCCTTTCTTTCTGGGAGTGGCTTCTAGCAAATGTAAGAGAGGTTTGTTTACAGGGCCAGACTACAGGAGCGCCATCATAAAAAGCCATGCAAGACCATGGAGGAAGGATCCAATGCCTGAGAGAAATGGCAATGTTGGAGATACTTCTTGGGAGGGATGGACAACGTGATAATGACCCTAACGAGGTCAGGTGCAAATGTGGTGGAGTCTGGCACATCAGGGTCCATCTGAATACTCCAGTTTAATGGCAAACATGCATCTCAGGGGCAATCAAGAGACAATGGGCTCTATAGAAAGCAAACTTAGGAACTATGAGAGTAGGGTTCAAGGCCTGATGCAGACCCACATCTCTGCTGTAGAGACATTGGTTGAGAGTCTCAAGGATGATATTAAGAAATTCAGGGAGAGATGTTTACCTGTAGCACCAGTGCAAATCAGTCCTTGAAGTCACAGTCAGATGCCCTGCAGACAGAGAGAGCGGGTATGCTTCACAAACTGACTTAAGATATTTCCTACTCAACCATGAAGAAGACATGAGATGGTGGTACAGGAAACCTACCTGTGTCCTGGCACCCTGAATACAAGAACTGAAGGAGAAAGGAAAAGGGAAGTCAATGAGAGTGAGTGCGGTGCCAGTTTCCCATGGGCAAGTATCTGACCTGCTGGAAGGTACCTCCAATATGTATTCACAAGAACTGGTATTGGAGGGGTCCTGCCTCTAGCCAGGTAGGGGCACCAGGGGACCACCATGTCTACTGGACTATGTGGACATGATGGCCTGGCACGCGAAACCCACAAGAGTACAAGACTTTAGTTGACACTGGTGCTCAATGTATGTTAATGCCACCAGGATGTGTGGGGTCAGAAACTGTCTCCATTTCTGATGTTACAGGGGGTTCTCAAGAGCTGAGGTTGTTGGAAGCTGAAGTGAGCTTGACTGGGAAGAAGCACCCCATTGTAACTGACCCAGATACCCCACGTATTCTGGGCATTGACTACATTAAGAACGGATACTTTGAAGACCCAAGAGGACATTGATGGGCTTTTGGAATTGCTGCTGTGGAAACAGAAAGAGCTAAGCAGCTAAACACCTTGCCTGGACTCAGAAAATTCTTCTGTGGTTAGGACTTTTGAAGGTAGGAAAGCAAGTACCAATTGCCACCTCCGCAGTGCATCACTGGCAGTATCAAAAAATCAAGATGCCATGATACCCATTCACAAGATGGTCCATGAGCTGGAGAGCCAAGGAGTGTTCAGCAAGGCTCACTTGCCCTTTGGCTCCCTTGGGCCTGTGTGGAAGTCTGATGGGGAATGCAGATTGATAGTGGACTATTGTGGCTTGAATGAAGTTACACCATCACTGAGTGTTGCTGTGCTGGTCATGCTGGAGCTCCAGTATGAGCTGGACTCCAAGGCAGCAAAGTGGTACGCCACTATAGACATGGCTAATGTGTTTTTCTTCATTCCTCTGGCAGCAGAGGGCAGGCCTCAGTTTGTCTTCACATGGAGGGGTGTGCAGTACACCTGGAACCAACTGCCCCAGGGGTGGAAGCACAGCCCCACCATCTGCCATGGACTGATTCAGGCTGCTCTGGAGAAGGATGAGACTTCTGAACATCTGCAATACATTGATGACATCATTGTGTGGGAACAAGGCAGCAGAATTCTTTGAGAAAGGAGAAAAGATCATCCAGATTCTCTTGAAAGCTGATTTTGTCATCCAAAAGACTAAGGTCAAAGGACCTGCTCGAGAGATCCAGTTCCTAGGGATGAAGTGACAAGACGGATGGCGCGATACTCACCGAGGTCATCAACAAGATCACAGCAGTGTCTCCACTGAGCAGCAAGAGGGAAACACAAGCTTTCCTAGGTGGCATAAGTTCCTGCAGAGTTTGCATCCTGGGGTACAGTCAGTTTGTGAGCCCTCTTTACCTGGTAACCCGCAAGAAGAACAGTTTCCACTGGGGCCCTGAGCAGCAGCAAGCTTTTGCCCAGATCAAGCAGGAGATTGCTCATGCAGTGCCCTTGGCCCGGTCAGGACGGGACCAGAGGTGAAGAACGTGCTCCACCCTGCAGCTGGATACAATGGCTTGTCCTGCAGCCTTTGGCAGAAGGTGCCTGGGGAGACTCTGGGCCAGCCACTGGGATTCTGAAGCCAAAGTTACAGGGGGTTCAAAGCCAACTACACCCCAAGAGAGGAGATCCTGTTAGCCTGTGAAGGAGTTCAGACTGCCTCAGAGGTGATTGGCACAGAGGCACAACTTCTCCTGGTACCCTGACTGCCAGCGCTGACTGGTGGATGTTAAAATGAAAGGTTCCCTCTACCCGTCACGCCACTAATGCTACGTGAAGTCGATTGCCTTGCTTATACAGCATGCCTGTATTGGAAACCCAGATCACCCTGGGATCTTGGAAATAATTATGAATTGGCCTCAAGGTGAGGATTTTGTTCTGAGAGATGAAGAGCAGAAATAGGTGATATAAGCTGAGGAAACTCCACCATACAATCAACTGCCAACTAAGAAACAAGCTACACTCTTTTCAGTAATGATTCCTGTCACATTGTAGGAATGAACTGAAAATGGAGCCCCATGTGATAAGTTACAGAAGGTACCAAAGGAGAAGGTAGGTCAAGCCAGTTTGTGCAGCTCAAAGGCGTCCACTTGACCCTGGACATTGCTGAATGAGAGAAGTGGCCAAAGAATTACTGTTATACTGACTTTTGGGGATTGACATATGCTCCATGGGGGTGGCTGGACAGCTGGAAAAAGATCAACTGGCAGTGTAGAGGAAAACCAGTTGGGCCTTGCTGAAGAATGGCAAGACATTGCCATTTGAGTGGAGAAGCTACCTGTGAAAGTGTGTCATGTGGATGCCCATGTCTCCAAGTGTCAGGCTAATGAGGTGGAAAATGAACAGGTGGATCAGGCTGCAGAAATTGAGGTGTCACAGATGGATTTGGACTCGCAACTCAAAGGAGAGCTGTTCCTAGCTGGATGGACCACGATGCCTCAGGCTGTCAGGGCAGAGGTGCCACCTATAAGGGGCATGAGACTGAGAGGTGGATGTAACTGTGGACAGCATCTCCCAGGTAATCCATGGTAGTGGAATGTGCACTGCCATCAAACAGGCCAAGCAGGTGAAGCCCCTATGGTATGGTAGGTGGTGATCCAGTATAAGTATGGGGAGGCAGAACGATTACATCACACTGCCTCAAACCTGCCAGGGCAAGAGCTACATGCTCACAACTGTAGCAGGCACCACTGGATGGTTGGAAACCTACCCTGTGCCTCACACTACTGCCTGAAACACCATCCTGGGCCTTGAAAAGCAGGTCCTTTGGAGGCATGGTACCTCTGAGAGGATTGAGTCAGACAATGGGACTCATTTCAAGAACATTTTATTAAACACCTGGGCTAGAGAACATGGTATTTAGTGGGCATACCACATTCCTTACCATGCAGCGCCTCCTGGGGAAATTGAGCACTGCAATGGACTGCTAAAAACAACATTGAAGACAACATGAGGTGGAACCTTCAAGCAGTGGGATCTGCACTGAGCAAAGGCTACAGGGTTAGTTAACTCAGACGTTCCACTAAGCGAGCTGGCCCTGCCCCATCTGAACCCCTGTGTACCGCAGAGAGCAATAAGATTCTAGTGGTACATATGAGAAGTATGTTAGGAAAGACTTATTTGGATGAATTCTGCCTCCAGGAAAGATAAAGACATTTGTCAGGTTGTCTTTGCTCAGGGATGTGGTTGCACTCAGTAGGTGGTGCAGAAACATAACATATACCTCAAAGGCACCTTGTTTTGGGGTGAACTGTCTGATGTTGTACCTGTATCCATATCTGCATGTATATATGTATATAATCAGGATAATGCATGAATGTCTATAGTTAAAAAGTGTAAGTTCAATGTAACATGTTGGTATGGGAAAAAAAATTTGGGGTGGATAATGTTGGGGGTTAGGTTTTCTCAAAGGAATTGCATCCCATTTGTTGTCTTCCTGAGGCTGCCGTTTACCCTGGGGAGGCTCAAGGCTCCCATCAGAGCATCCCCTGGAGCCCTGGGGCAGCCACTGCAGACCCTCTGCCTTGCCCCATGGCCCCCCCCGCTGGTTGGGGTCATAACTGCAGCCAAGGGGAAATTGCTTGACTGTGGTGGGAAAACTTACAGGTTTTTTCTTTGTTGTTTTTTGTTTGTTCTGTTTTATATATATATATTTTATAGTAAAGGAATTCCTTTTCCCATATTTTTTTCCTGGAAGCCCTGTATTTGTGAAGTTATAATAATTTGGAGGGAGGGTGCCATCTTTCTATTCCAGGAAGGTTCCTGCCTTCCTTGGCAGACACATGTCTTTTAAACCAGTACACTGGATAACAAGCATAATAATTTGAATCTGTCATATTTCCCAGTCATTCCCTATAGTTTGTATTTAGATAGTAGGACTTTGCATATATATGAAAATATTTATTCTGTCCTTTCCCATGTTACTTCTCTTGTGACACTGCTGTGGCAATTCAAGACTAGAGATAAAATTGTGTGGTTTTTCTTTTCCCATTATATACAGTGGGGGTCCCGAAAAAACCTGCTGGCAGTGAACAACATCAGCTCTGTGGTGATCCTCAGTGAGCAGGCCATGTTGGCACACTTTCATCAGCAGGTGGCCGTGGTACAGGTGTCTCCCAACCTCTTCAATGTCACGATCTTCAGCACAGGAACCACTCACAGCCTTCGTGTTGACATGAATGCTAGTGGAGTCTTTGCTACTCAGGTTAATCCGTTTGGGGTTTTTTTGTTGTTGTTTTTTATGTGCCTAATCAGTTGCCTGGTGAGGTTTATCAAGACCAAACTTCCTAAGTCTTTAAGATAAGTCTTTTTTTTTAATATTCAACATAGTGTGTTATGAAGGTATTGTTGTAACAGTAGCAATGGTGCTGCAGTGGAGCTGTTTTTTTCTAAGATAGAACAGGGACTCAGAAATGCTCTAGGCTGCTCACAGAACCCAGAGAACCTCTGGGCTGCTAAAAGCCTTCCAGCCCAATGTCCAAAGGAACTAGTAACTGGTGGCTATTGTAGGGGAGTTCTTGCCATGTTACTGCATGAATTCCTGCATGCTTCCAAAAGGAACTAAAAGTATATATTTATTTGGTGTTTTGTTTGTTTGTTTTAGGATGCTGTAGTATTCTGGAATGGGAAGCAAGTGGCTGTCTTTGAGTGCTCAGGAGATACCTTCAGAAGTGCAGGTAGGACTTAAAACATTGGTCAGAGTCTGAATGCTTCTTTTCTTCCAAAGTTATACATTCATTCATGGTAGCTGATGCACTGTAAGCATAGAATCAAAGAATGGTTTGGGGTTGGAAGGGACTTTAAAGCACATCTTGTTCCAACCCCCCTGTCATGGGCCGGGACACCTCCTAGACTGGAAAAACCCTCAGGGCTAGAGAAAACTTTTATATGATGTAGCCAAATTACATTATAGAGGGCCTTGCACAAAATGTGAGGCTAGAACAACTTCTTTTTATATTTTTTAAGTTAACCATTGATTTGATCAAGAAGACCAATTTTTTCCTGCTTTTGTAGCTGTCGTTCCTGTTGCTTTTACAGATAAGACATGGCAATGACTATTGAACGCTTTTCCATCTTGCTTGAGAGAAAGTGTAATCAAAGGATCTGGGAAAGAGGCTTCTTGTCCCAGCTCTCAAGAGAAGTTATCCCGTAAATTGCCCTGTACAGTGCCAAGTAGAGTAAACTAGGTTTTTAAATGATTAATTCTCCCTAAATATTTCTGCCTCGAGAAATAAGTGGTGTAGAATTCCATCAATTCCATCCTAAATCTTGAGATTTGTCTTTTAAGAATCATTAAGTGTTTTCTGCTTGTCTATATTTACTGATATATTTTATAACTTTTCCATGCTGAATCATTGCTTTATTACCACCAAGGCCCTAACAGTCTACACCGCTTCTGAAGTTGTTGCAGAGCCAGTGTTCTGGCAGAGATTCTGTTATCCCTCTTCAGTAGCAGTTCACTGAAGGAAAAAGTGAATTCTCTTACCAGAACCTCACACTGCACTTTTTTTTTTTTTTCTTTCTTTCACTCCCTGTATCAACTCCTTGCCCTTCCTTTCTCACTTGTTTCCATGGACAGAGTGTACCAACACCTGTTTAAAATGGGAACCCCAGCTTTTAAATGTAGTGGCAGTATGGAAGAAGGCTAAAACACCAAGGAGCTGGGATTCAATAGTGACTGACAGATTGAAAAAGAGATTTGGTGCAAGATAGTGGAAATTGTGTGCTATAAGTTACTTGTTTTTTCTTTTTACAGAACATATTTATTGTAATGATGGCTTTGTTGTCATTGTTTCAGGCTCTTTCCTTTGTGACTCTCCTGTTCTGTGTGTTCATGGAGAAAATCTGTACACAGTGGAGCCATATCGGATCCAGGTCCGCACCTGGCAGGTAAGGACTGAGAAAGCCATGAAGGGATAAAAAGACCTTGTTGTTTTCAAAGATTGGTGTTAGAGCTTAAAAGTAATATGCATGATCTTCCTAAGTCTATTAACTCTTCCTTGTCATAATACAATACTCAAAATATATTTTGAGTATTTCAGCAGAAAGATCTTTGACATTTTGTGTTCTTTAAAAAGTCTGCCACTCTGAACACTACTGCAGTGTAACTAATAAGTATTTATAGACATTAAGACAATCTAAATTGCATGCTGGTTGAGATACATATATACTTCCAGGAAGATGATAGTACCGAATATTCTCACAAGATAATGAAAAATATCACTTGAACATTTTGTGTGAACCTTTGCAGCCTCTGCTAGTCTATGAGAACCAAAAGAGCAATCTAATTATCAGAGTTCTGTGATACATAATTTTATTTAGGAAGCAAATATTATATTTTAGAATGGGTGTGATTCATCACATAAATATAATGTATTGGTTTTTACAGCTATATATTTAAGGACCTTCAGGGACTTGGTATTTCTGTATGTCTTTCACTTGGTAAAGGTTGTGTTACTAAAGAGGAAATTATTGCAGAAGGATGCCTTTAAATTTAGACTTTTTTTGAGGTTATGTACATACCTGAGACCCAGATTGAATTTGTGTGGGTATGTTTCTCCAATTTGCTTGGAGTGATTAATCTAACAGAGAAGTTCAGCAATTTGTGACTCAGCTTGGTGACAAAATAAGTCCCTTCTAGTGAGGCCGTGGCCACACAAACCTGGTGTTACACATTTCTTGCCAGGGCACAGTTAAACAGCTGCTCGTGTTCTCTGAGGCAGAGGGGAATCCGTGCCTCCTGGATGTCTGTGGGAATTTCCTGGCTGTGGGAACTGATCTGGCTCACTTGAAAATCTTTGATCTCTCACGCAGGTATTAATAAGGCTTTAAAAATAATCTGTTTATAGTTAAGTGTGTATTTTGTGGGGAATCTTTAGCTGTTTTTGATTTGATGAAAAGCAGCAGTCCCTTTGAATCTTGAGACAATATATGCAGCTTTGTGAACTGATGGCATATTTCCAAAGCAAGGGAGGAACCATGAAATTATTAGGCAAGTCATGGATTGATGAGGATGATGATTATTATTTTAAAAAGAGGATACCGTGAGGGATATTTGAGTGCATTTTAAAGTGTGTGGAGAATTTATGGATGATCGAGCTAAGGATGTCCCATTTATTTTGGTATCTTGAACAAGAATTGAATCTCAAAAGAGCTGAAATAAAGCCAGGTCTTGTATTTCCTCATAAATCAGGAAACTTGTTGCAATGAATCTATGGAGAAAGTGAACCTCAAACTGTGGAGACACTGTTCTTTCTCCTGTTTAGTTTAAGGAGTTTACCTGACTTTGTTCAAAGGTTGCTGTACTCTCATATTGACGAACATGGAAAAGATACTGCCATGACGTTCATTTTGAAAATGTAGCTGTTGATGACAAACATAATTTTAAAAAGCTTAAAAACCTGAAGAGTGAAACAGATTCTGTTCTTCTTTGCATGCTGTCACCAGAGGAATGCTAAAATCTAGTTAGTTGCCATCTGGAAACTACTTGGGTTGAGATCACACACATTCCACCTGGGACAGTTTGAAGGTTATTAGAATCGGGCAGGTTGTAACTAGCATAAATATTGGATTGACAGTGAGAAAAAATAGATTTACTTATGCATGCTATGATAAATTTTTGCACTTGGTATGAAAATACCCTTCCTCAAATTATGAGACTTTAATTTCAGGGCACTGTAATTGGCTGAGAACAAATGTTATTTTTATAGAATCAAGCATGTTTTTTTCATGAGATTGTATTATAGCTCTAAATTGCTGTCACTTCAAATTACTGTCACTTTTTGCTGCATTCTTTCATTTCATGAGATTTGCCCTCTTTGTTGCTGACTGATTTCTGGGTTTGTGTCTATAACAGCAATAAAGTCCTTTTGAGATAATAAAATATATAAATGTGCCCTGCTAATGACATTTCTTTACTTCTGCTGCACTCTGTGCTTTCCATACACAGAACTTTTATGTGAATGGACTCTATTCCAAATTCATGGTACTGTTCAGCTTATTTCTGCAGGAAAATTAGGCCTCTGAATTGAGAATTATCTTCAGATGTTCTTGCTGTATGGCCATGTTTTGGGAATCCTGTAGAAACACTGACATTTATTCTTGCTGATTCATTGAGGAAAGAGTGTCTGTTAACTTAGTCCTGAAAGAAAGGCAGTGGCAGCAATCCTCTGGAGAGGAAGTGGGAGTCTGAAGCAGTTGTGTCATATAGTCAAAATAGTTTGTTTTTAAAAGTCTTACCCATAATTTGCTAAATTGCCAGTCGCTTGCCACCATGTAATTGAAGTTTATTCCTTCCCACAGAGAGGCAAAAGTGCACTGCAACAGCAAGAGTTTATCCAAGCTGCTTCCTGGCCATGGAGACATTTTGTCTGTGAAGTGCAATGCTAATGGCAGCAAAGTCAGCATCCTTGTCAGCAGGGTGAGACACGGCTCTTCACTCAGCATTTGGGACTTTTCCATTGGTTCATAGGCTGGTGTGGGTCAAGATTACTGAGGACGCAAGAATCACTTCTCAGAAATAAACCTACCTGGTCCAGGCAGTGAATTGAGTCATATAATGAAGTGTCATGTCCCAGCGTTATTTAAGATCTCTTAAGACTTTGTTCTGTGTTGGAATTCAGAAAAGGAATATTTTATTTACAAAAGCTGCTTTGTAGCATTTTAAAAGAAATCCAAGGCTGGCTTGTTGGAATAGAAAAAGAACCAGAAATTTTCTGGTATTTCTTACTAAGAATGACCTCCTTGTGATTACTAAGAAAGAAAGCTGAGGGCATGAAGCATATGGGATAAACTTACCTAATTCTTCTTTTTGACTGCATGCTCCAGCACCCTTTGTTTTCCTTTCTTGTAGGTGGATGGGAACATTGATTCCAAGATCTGTTTCTTTGATGTTGAAATGGACCAAGTTACGCTCTTTGATTTCAAGGCTGAACGGGGAGATGGTAGAGAGAGCCTTTCTGCTGGACAAAGCATTGGCAAGTAAGGAGCTTTTGCTTCAAGAAGCATTAATGGTGGATTTAAGACAGAAATCTGCCATGTTGACACAAGCACACCCTGATTCTGACATTCCTCCGTCTTGGGAAGGAGTTTGTATGGATTTAATTATTTATTTATAAAGAACTAATTAACACTGAATTGTATGTCCATCAAGCTGCATCTCTATCTATTCCAATAATCTGAGCTAGGGAATGCCATGGTTTGACATTGGCCAAACGTGAGGCACCCACGGCAGCCGTTCGCTTACCCTTGTCTTTCAAGTTGGGCAGAGAGGAGGGACGAAAAAAAAGGAATTAACAGAGGGTTCATGAGTTGACATAAGGACTGGGAGAAGAACACTCTAAGTGCAAAATGGGTTTAAATTTAAAAGTATAAAGTATATTTATTATTAACAGAGTCAGAGGAGGATCATGAGAAGTAAAATAGGCCCTTGAAACAGCTCTTTTCCCATGGTGCTGGTGCTATTGAACACCTCTCTTCACGTAGGGCACCAGGAGGGGGAAGCTGCCCCTGCCTTTCTGCCTGTGGTGCTGCTGGCCAGGGGTGGCCGGGCAGGCAAGGCTCGCCTTGGGCTGTGCCAGCCTGGTGGCCACCCTGGCGCCTCCCCACTCCAGGGGGAAAACTGTATGTGCTCTGTTCTGATTCTGTCCTTAAACACGTTATCACAGAGGCATTACCAGCCTCTCTAACTGGGTCAGCAGCATGTCCATCTTCAGAGCCATCAGAGATTGGCTCTGTCAGACATGGTGGAAGCTTCTTGCAGCTTCTCACAGAAGCTATCCCTGAGGTGCATGCCCTCCCCAGCAGCCAATCACCAGGCTATGCCATATCAACACACCCTGAAAGCAAGCTCAAAATAAGCAGTGGGTAGATCTTCAGCCAACATGCAGCTGAGCCAAGGAACTCCTTGCAAAGTCAGTAGAGAAGATGAAGGAAGTGCTTATGGAGATACTGGACAAATTCATAGAAGAGAAATTCAGGGAGCGCTACTAGCACTTTGGAAGCCATATCAAGCTAGAGATCTCTGAGGAAAGGATGATTTGGTGTTGGGGGTTTTATACAGAGGTATTACATGATTGGACTCAGGATCCAGATCTTTAAATTTAAAAAAAATCTTGGAAAGCTACCCTTCCTTGAAGACTTTACATAATAGGGAACTGAGAAGAGGACATTCTGAAGGTCCTTCTAGGAATAAAGGTATTTTTAAAATATAGTAAAAATTGAGTTTGTGTGGGTAAAAACTCATGACATGTCTGTTTAGAGCTGATGCCTTTCTGTCCATGCAAACTGTGCTGTAGGAAGTGCATTAGAAATCCTAGCAGCACAATGCAGTGAAGTGCGAATGCTTGTGAAAGTATGGTGTAATATTAGAGTACAAATTCCCATTTGATTTTACAATAATTTTCCTGACTGTATTTTTCTTAAGAAAAACCAGCATTGGAACAGGTGGATTACTTTTTTAGCTACTATCAGCTATGGGTATTACAAGCAAAGAAAAGGAATTACTCTCCTTACCACTGAAAGCCAGAAGAAACTACCCAGCTCATCAAAAACTAAGGCCAATGCAAATCTGGGGCCTTACGTCCTGGTTAGTTATGGAGTAGTGTTGTCAAGAGTTAAGTGAGGAAGTTGTTTCCACGTGCAGTATCTTGTGTAGCCCAACAGAAGCCAACCCAAGCCAGGAATGCTGTTTTACTGTTTGCGTGTTAAATACTGTCTGTGTGAATAATCCATTTATCTGTGCATCCTTTTGAAGCATCTTCAAATTAGAGTGAATCAACTCAGCAGAAAGTGATAATAATCTACACTTCTTCTGCTTCTCTTCCCACCTCCTGAGGCAAAATCTAAACACTCCCAGGTTTTTTTACACAAATTCTTTTTTTTATTTGCAATTTACTGATTTTGAATTCCATGGCAGGGAGAGGATTTAGGCCATTTCTGCACCTCTTTGAATGTCTCTTTCAATTTGCCCTCTAGCCCTACTCCAATCCTCCTCACAACTTCCACCTTGCAGTGGTGACAGCAAGTGAGGAAATACTTAAATGGTGTCTTTAGTTTTCCTTTAAATAATTTGACACTGTTTCAGGAGAATGAATACTAAGCCATTGCTAGAATAGTGTCATTCTGGAGTATGTCTGGAGTCTTGACATAGCTGGCACTGAAGTAGTATTGAAATGGCCAAAGGAGGCAGTAAGATGATACTATTTTAACTGCTGACAGAGACTGGCTTTCCCAAGTGTTCTGGTTCAGGGCAAATTTGGGAGAGAACCCCCAAAGGGTCTCCTCTAGAAAAGCAGATTCAACTGGCCCTTCTCCCCCACCGGTTTGGGAGAAAATACCTCCTTGGAGAAAAGTGGAAAAACCTGTTTATTAAACAATAAAACCTAAGCAATATTACACCATAAAACCCTTTGTTGTTCCAAAAGAGATGACAAACTGAGAAAGTCCCCTCCCTGGGCTGCAGCTGAGCTCACTCAGGCTCTGATCAGTCCCTCTGGTGCTGGAAATGTCGCGGGCCAGGCCCGGCCTGGTGGGCCACAGGTGCAGCTGCTGGTGCTCTGCTGGGTGTTCAGTCCAGAGCAGGTTTGAACAGGTCCAAAGAAAAGGAAAAAAAGAAAAAAAAAAACACAGTCCAGGGAACTTCTTTGCCTCAGCTAGCTAAAACTAACTAAAAGCAAAGGAGAGCTCTGTCCCGCTGTCTGTTCATCCACAGACAACACAGTCCAGGAGCAGGAATGTGGAGGAGTGAGTGCAGTGTCTGAAAACAAACTGCTGCTTCTTCTCTCCCCCCTTCACTCTCTGCAACAAGTCTTAAAGGTGCAAAACTTACTATTCAGCATAAGCAGAACAAGACAATTGGGGATAAAAGCATCATATAGTCAACCCAGGACACCAAGGCTGCAGGGGAAGTCCTTGTGCTGTTCCACAGTGCCTTAGAATTCTTGACATGCCAGGTGTGGTTGAGCTCTTCTCCCAGGTAACAATCGATAGGATGAGAAGAAATGGCCTCAAGTTGTGCCAGTAAGGATTTAGATTGGGTATTAGGGAAAATTTCTTCAGGTGGAATTGTCAGGCACTGGAACAGGCTGGCCATGGCAATGGTGGGAACACTTCCTTCCTGGGAAGTGTTCAGAAAGTGTATGAATGTGGCACTCTGGGACATGGTTTAGGGTCAGTGTGGTGGTGGTGCTGGGTGCGTGGTTGGGCTTGGTGATTTTAGATGGCTCTTCCAATCTTAGTGATTCCATGGTTTGAAGACAGAGCTGAGGTAACCCCTGTGTTACAGCAGCAGGCACTGAGGTAGATGTTCAGGGGTTTCTGTAGGAGCTGCAATCCCAGGGCAGGCAGATTTTGAGTACCTGTTTTTATAGGTGGTACCAACTTTTTTTCTACAGAAATGCTTTTATGTCCTGTCACCACTCTCAGTGTAACAAACCAAACTAGAAGTGTCCTTGCCATGTGTAAAATGTTAGGAGTCAGGAAAATGTATCTGGTTAATGTTCTAATACAGACTAGAAATAACTGAGAATGATCCCTTGGCTTTATTTACACTCATGCAACGACTGTGCTGGAATTACTTTGTCTCCCTTTCAATTTTTTTTTTTTTTGTCTCTTGGTAGGTTTGTAGTGGAGTATCCAGAGTTGCGCAGTCACATCCCCGCTTGCCATTTCTGGGACCAGAGTGAACCAAGACTTTTTGTATGTGAAGTAATTCCTGAAACAGGCCTCCAACCTCCAGACCAAAAGAAAATCCAGGCTGAGGGCACAGTATGGTCTTTTTTATTAGTTTTATCTTGTTTTACGTGGAGTTCTCCCTGTCCAAGTAGTAAATCCTTTGTGCTTCATTAAAGATGTAGGAGTGGGTAGTACATATTACTACATGCAGAAATGAGTAGTGACCCCTGTGTTTGCTGTCGGTGCTTTGGGCAGTCCCTCTATGGCAGCTCTCTGGCTTGGGCCAAGCTTGCATACAGTGAAGAAGAATAAACGAGGGATTTCTTTAGCTGTGATAGAATTTTGGGAATGACCATAATGCCAGCTTCTGTCTGGAGTGCAGTTTTTCAGGTGACATTATTGGGTGGATGGATAATCTAGAAGTTTGTAACTTAAAAAGTTGCTGATCTTGAGTACACTTAAGCAGCAAGAATTAACTTGATAGAATAACAGGGGCACTACTGTTAAGGTGAACAGAGAAATATGCTCTTCTACCCAGTCCCTCCCATCTTCTGCTTTTCTGGAGAGATATTGTGCATTTTTATGGACTTCCCAAATTATCTGTTATGGTCTTTTTTACATTAGAAAAAAATTTCATTTTTATTCATCAACAATTATCTGATGAAAGATTTCTTTCATCATACAAATATTTCTTCCTTTCTTCTCCTGCTCTTCTACTTGTAGTGTTCCTTACCACTTTGTTTGTACAGGATTGCCTATCCTGCATAAACATTGCATTGATTTGACACATCCATTTTAACCTCAAGTTTTTTTATTTGTGCCTTATTTTAACTAATCTTATAAAATTAGATATAGAAAGCTCTTTTTGTCTTTTGTTGGTTAAAATCAACCATGAAGAATCATGAAAAGATCAAAGTAAAAACGAGAAATGGGATAGGAATAGGGATGTTTCAAAAGGCCTGGCTAGAGTCTTCTAGCAAAGAGAAGAACAATTGAACCTAGTATTACTCAAGTAAAAAACTTAAAAATGCTTGGCTTCTAAGTAAAGTTGAAAAAAAAGATATAAAAGGAATGCAACTTTTTGCCCCTTATTCAACAAAACATTTTACTGTCTGCTTATGCCCTAGTAAATGACAAGTCTGATTAACTTCTGCTGGAAATAAATGTTATTTTAACTTGACTCAGGTCAATACTTAAACTGTGAGAGGAACTATTTTTGCATGGATGACATATTTCCTGGGAACTCAAAGCAGCCAGTGAGCTGATAAACTTACAGTGGGAATAATATAATGTTTTTTTTAAAAAAATAGTTTTTAAGGCCCCTTCCAACCAAACCCATTCTGTGATTCTCTTATTCTGTGATTCTGTTTCTTTGCCCTGAGCCAGATCTCTGGGAGAGATGCCTGAAGCAGCCATCTGTGCCAGGGGCTTTTCTCTTTCTGGTGGGTAAAGCTGGTTGCAGAGGAGGAGCAGTCTGGAATGCAGAGTGAGGTGCTGCTGCTTGCTGCAGGGAGGAAGAGTGTGGCTCTGCCCTCCCAGCAGCTGTGTCTGAATGTAGAGGTCATGCTGTTGTCAAGAGAAGCTTCTGCCAAGTGAATATGGAAAATAAAAACAAAAAGAAGGATATTGCAGCATAAAAATAAAATAGTGCTTCGCTTCCCTTTCCAGATGGATGTTTGGATTATATCATTCTTCAGCACTGAAGAGCATGGCCTCTTGCTGCAGGACAGCTTTGCATTGCCTTCATCCTACCAGCTTCTTCTTGGCATAGAGGTGCCACATTATTACTTCGCAAAAAAGGTGAGGTAATCTCTAAGAATTCTTTCCCTCCCAAAAATTCAGACTTTACACTGTACAGGGATCAAATTTAACCAAATTGAGTCTGGGGTGGGTAGAGCTATTCCAATGGCAGGGGATGCATCACATGTAGAAATGGCATAAAGATAATTCTGATGCAGATGAACTTGACAGAATTGTGGAATTTGTAGTGAGATGGCTTTTTATGGGTATTGTAAACTGAATGTGATGTACAAGTGTATACAAGAAACAGGAATTACCAGGTAATGCAATTGAAAAGGGGATGTGGAAAAAACTCTGCTTTATCTGGTCACTGTGTTTATTGCAAGTACAAGAGGGGTGTGTGTGTGAGATTTATTTAGGCCATATGACAGGACACTTCATACTGGCTTTGGCAGAAGCATCCCACTTCCTTGCAGGAATACCTAAGGGAGCAAAATGGTCATCTTGCACCATCAACAAGTGCCTGTGTGCTGCAAATGCCAAGAGTGCAGGCTCTAAATTCTAAAACTTGATTTCAATCCAAAATTGTTTGCATCTCAGGTAAATAATACCCTACATAATTCCACGCATACTAGGCGAGCTGCAGCCTTTCACCTACAGATTGGTTTCTGGTGAAGTTCTGACCTGAGTTTCCTGGTGCTTCTTAGGGTGAGGATTGCTCTGTTCCTGTCTTGTAGGGGGAGTGCAACAGAGCCCATTTACTATACTAATGTATTTAGTTTTGTAAAATCTACCGGAAATTAATATTAAGGAGATTTTCTAATCTCTACTTGTGTAGTTTGGGAGCACTGTTAGAAGGGAGAATGTATCTACTTATTATGTTCAGATTCAGAACAGCACTTTGCAATTCATTTTCTTCAAAGCACTGTCTGTTGTCAGTCTTCCTGTGCAGATTGAGCTTTTAGTGTTATACTGTGTTTTACTTTCCTTTTTCCTTTAAATTGAAAGATCAGATGTGATATGCTGCATTTTCCAATCTTTCCTTTTAACATTTCTCCATCATGTCTCATGCTATTTTACTTTGATATTGTTTCTTTTTTTTTTGACTTTGTATGGATTGTTGCTGCCATTAGTTGTGTTTTCGAAGGGGATGTATCTATAAACCTGTAAGTATCTGCACTGCTTTGGTGATCTTCCTTCATCCTCTGCTCCTCTCTTGCTTCCATTTTCTTGGTAGGCCGTTGTCTCTTTCTGATGATGTCACTTTTTACATAACTTGTATTCATTTGGGAAACCTAATTTAGTAAAAGAGCAGAGTCTGCTGTAAATACAGTAAATCAAGTTAATACAACAAGCCTTGTTGACCAGGTTTCATTCCAGGGTTTCTCCTTATTCACCATAATGTCTTTACTGTCCTGGTTCCAGAAATTCCTCAAGTTCTAGTCAAACAGATTTGCACTTTTAATTTCTGTCTTCTACTTTACCCAGGACTTCCATTGTATTATAATATAATACAACTTTTATTAGCTTCTGTATGCCTTAAAATTTAGTTATCTTAGGTAACTATCCGATTAGGGTAGAGTGTACATGGACTTTGGCATCCTTCATGACTCAGATGATCTTCCTCTGTGCCTGGCTTGGGAAAGTTTCCTTGTTACACTCCAGACAGATCATTTGACATGGAGGATTGAGACTTTATTGGTTTTCTGCATAAACATTGATACTGATATTCGATGATATTCCATATTTTGTGGCATTTTCTAGAAAGCTCTGAAACTTCACAACTATTGATGCTACTGATTATGGTCCTGCAGATATAAAAAACTTAGACTGCAGTGGGAATAATGTAATTAATTCCATGTACAAAGGAGTAAGTTTCAACCTGCTTGATACATATGTGAGCACCTTCTTTTAGCTGGGAGAAGCTGAGAAGGGAGCATCAGAGTCTGGCTCAGGAACAGTCTCTCAGATGGCTGCAAGAAGACCCATGAGAGATTTCACTGGGCTGGGAGACTGTGATAAGACCACCCAGGATGCCATGCTGAACTTCAGCTACTATCTCACTGCTGGAGACATGGACGAGGCCTTCAAATCCATCAAGCTGATAAAAAGGTATCAGAACTATTTGCATCTATTTCTTCATGGGTGCAGTTTATTTTTGTTAAAAGTTTGTATGAAGTGTAAATCTTCCTAGATTCTCCTTACCTTTTCCCTCTCTGATTTCATTCTCCCTTTCATTTTTAACCAGATGAAACATCTTTATCTCACAGATATTCTAAGCATTCTCTGCTCATTCTTTGTCTATAATACACTGTGGATTATTTTTTGCTAAAAGAGAAAGAATTACTGATAACCTGCAACCTTATGCTGTGTCTGAATAGCAAAAATGTCATCACTAGAAGAAAATGAACCTTCACAATTTTATTTATACATCTAAAATAATCACACCAATACTGAGTGTTACAGATTTACCAACCCCATAGCTGATTTTTAAATTCACATGTACATTATTATAATATGGATACTGCAATATTAGAGGAAATAATATAATGTCTCTTAAATACTCCAATATTTTATTTTAAAAAACACTGCATTTAATCATAACATATTATTTCTGGAATTCCTTTTTTTTCCAGAAAATTAATGCAGGCAGATGAATACTAATCTTAGTTGGTTTTTACAAACCTACTGCTAGAAGAAACTCTTTGTCAGCTTTATGGTATTTCCCCTGACAGTCTAGAGCAGTGCAGTTGTTCAAGAGCATCAGTCTCTGTGGAGTGTTGCTCATTTGGAATGTAGTGCAAAGCAGCAGTTGGGGTTGAGTTTCTTATCACATCCAAACTGAGTGCAGAACAGAACTCAAGAGCCAGCTTGATGATCACATTTTAACAAAGTGTAGAAATAGTGATAAAGGAGCAAAGCAGTGTACTCAGCTGGGAGCAACTCAATAGTCCTAAGGAATTTCTAACACTCACAGCTCATGGTCCCTCAAACCTATCACTAATTTTGCTTAGAGCAGCATTCTGAGAGTACTTACACACCTGTCACTGCCTCAGGTTCCTGTATCCCACATATTCCTGCATAATAGTTTTTGACGTGCTGTCTTTCTGAAAATTATATGCATATGACTTTTGTGAGGCCATGTGCTTCTCTGGGTAAGGCTTATAAACACTATACCTAATTCTAAAGGCATTAATTTTTCACTTCATTATCATATTAAGTTATCAGGTAGGTTGTTTTTAAATCTCAAAGTCCTGAAGTCCTGTATATTTGTCTTATTCTCCAGCCTGGGTGCTTGAGTGGCAGCTCTATTCTCCAATATTCCCTGTGTTATGTGGCTCTGAGCATTGCTGGGCAGAGCTGGTGTCCTGTCATAGCATTCTAATGCTACAGCAAATGTTATAACTAGCTGGAGAGAAAATAAACCAATTTGGGCTGGAATATTTCTTTCTTGTAATTATTCCCAACAATGTATTTTAATCACATCTGATTCTTAGGGAGTTCTGGTAGCCTCCTGTGGATATTTTCCCTCAATGTAATATTGAAACATTTTTTCAGCAGCATGTGTGACCTGTTCTAGCTGTGTACCCTTCTCATTTTTAATGTCTGGCTATGCATAGGACACTAGGAAACCTGTGTCTCAGGATTCAAAAGAAATGTCTGAAAAAAATGCAACTTAATTCTTCTGCAATCCCTTTCCTTACATGAGAATAGTTAGAGTTGCTTGTGCTTTTTACTCTCTGGTCTGTTCTGGGACTGGGAGCAGGTGTTGCAGCTAATGAGAATCCGTTCCTTGTAGAGAGGTGAATGGAAGGACTAGAAGTCATGAAATTTAGACAGCTTTTAAACCCATCACTTAATCTATAGTGAGTTTTCTGCTTTTGCAGATTGCCTGTTAACTCCCAGGCTATTGTCATTGGTCTCCTATAGCTTTTTGTTTTATTTTTAAGGAGCAGAAGAACTTGATGCAGACAGAGAAAATGTGTTTGGTTCCCTCTTTCCTGTATTGTCATTGCACACAATTGGTATCTTTTCCGGCTGACCCTGCTGCCATGCAGCCAACCCAACAATTCTGTGCTGTACAGCGGAAGGAGAGTGCAATATAATATTTTATATATTTATATATTTATATATATATATATATAAAATTATGTGTTTTATACATATGTATATAGATGGAGCCCATCTGAATAATGATTGAGGCCCTCTGCCCACACAAGTGAACATTGTGATGTCTTTCAACCCTTAAATTACAGCATATATTTATAGAAAATAACTCCAATGCAGATCTCCTTGGAGATCTTTCACCTTTCAAGTGTGCTCTTTCAGCACGGGGACTCGACATAGTCATTTTCCAAGCCGTGGCGAAAGCGAGCGCTCAGGGTGCGGCTGATGACGATGACGCGGGGCGCCATGCAGTCCTCGCGCCGGTGCAGGATGTTCCAGATGAGAATGGCAGCTGCCAGCGTGGCCAAGAGGCAGGCTCCGATGTTCAGGTAGCAGGACCACGAGAGGTTGGTGTAGGGCCCGATGCGGTAGAACGTCACCAGTCCGATAACCAGAACAAAACCTGCAGACAGAATGGCAGAGTTACTTTGAATGGGTTATTCTCTTGAATTTCTGTAGTGGCAAAATGCCACAGAATCTCAACATTTACCGACTCACTTATAAGTCCGTAGAGCCTTTCCATCCCTATTATGATGTGCTGGATGTGGTTTTGAAGGCATATTTGGGCCTCGTGATACATTCAAAGAGAGTGCCTTAAACAGAGGCTCAGTATTAAGTTTTAATCTGTTCACTCTAATTAAAATTTCCTACACCCACTGACCTGTATTTCACCTTGGGTTTTTTCTCCCAATCATTTGAATCACTTACACAGATGTCCTTTTTCTTCCTCCCATTGCCAAAAGAGAAAACAGCTGTATTAATGATGATAATAATAATAATTTCAAAAGATTTTTTTTCACAGTTTATACTCTTATTCTGAAATTTAAAATGTTTATTAAAACAGGCAACTATGTAAACTGCAAAGATGACGAATAGCTAAATATCTTACAGAAATAATAAAAAGCATTGTATAGAAACTTAAAAACAGGGAAGGTGAAATAAATGGAACTTTGTGGTCCTACTTTTTCCTGCTGGAAAAAGGTATTATGAGGCAGTAGTAATGTGATGCCTCCAGAAGCTCTTGAATGCAAAGTTTCTATTGTCCTCATAACTTTAGACACAGTACTAAGTTCCCTAAAAGGTAGGTAATAGAGTAATAGCAGTGCACTTGTCTAGCATTTCCATTCAGATGTCACAAAGCGATTTGCAAAAAAAAAAAACTAAAGGAAAAAAATCTCAATCTCTTTGGTGGTTACATTACTGATGAATAATAGTAATGTTTTTTCAGAAGTGAGGTTGGGTAACTGTTCTAGTTTTGCAGGAGACCCATGTTAGATCAAGGGGCAATATGCATCCCTTTACACCTCGTTTTTTATGTTACACCTGCCCATTCCTTGAAGAATGCATTGATAACCACCTGATTACTTTTCTGCCCTCTGTTTATTGTATTATCAGAGAACCATACAATCCCAAGATGATTTGGGTTGGAAGGAACCTTAAAACTCATTGCATTTCACCCTCTGCCATGGACAGGGACATCTCCTACTATCCCAAGTTTTCCCAAGGCCTGTCCAACCTGCCCTTGGACTCAGCCAGGGATGGGACAGCCACATCTCTGGGCACCCTGTGCCAAAGCCTGCCCACCCTCACAGGGAAGACTTTCTTCTAATTTTTCATCTAAACCTGCTCTCTGACAGTTTGAAGCCATTCCCTTGTCCTGTCCCTCCATCCCTTGTCCCCAGTCCCTCTCCAGCTCTCCTGGAGCCCCTTTAGGCACTGGAAGAGGCTCTGTGGTCTCCCTGGAGCCTTCTCCTCTTCTTGAGGCTCAACACTCACAGCTCTCCCAGCCTGGCTCTGGAGCAGAAGGGCTCCAGCCTAGTCTCTCTTCCTGTACCTACTGTCAAACAAAACTACTGTTCAGGTTTTTAAAAGAAATTCATGGATGTAATCAGATTGAAACAAACAAAAAGAGGCAAATATGCCTCACTAACCAAAAAAAAAATTCTCTTTGTTATCCTACACACTTCCTTAACTGCCACCATAACAAAGGAATGTCACTGCCAAAATGACCCCTTCATGAAGGAAGACTGGAATAAATAAATATCCATGAACTGCCAGAACATATCTGGACACCATCTTCCAAAGTTCATGGGCAGGGAGAAGTCAAGAGCAAGTCCCAGTTTCTGCTTGCTTTTTTCTCAGTTAGCCACAGTGCCTGTGCCTGCAAACACTGTCCCCGTGGATACATGGCAATCGTGTGACCCCTGGCCTGGCCCTTGATTTTCCATGAAAGAGCACATCCTGAGTGTGCATTGGATCAAGCTTTTTTCTTCAAGGAGTGCTAGTAATGCAGTGAAGATGGAAAAGACACAAGTTGCATACAGATAAAAAACACAGAAGAGGGAAATGACGTACAAGTAGGAGGGAAAAAATCAATCATTACCTAAAGGTGTGACACTTTTACTATTCTGAGAGTCAGTAAAATGAAGGCTGAATCCACCTCCTCCTAATACAAACACTGAATGAATATTCCTTCAGGAGCTGTCTGGCATCCTTGGTTCTATTGTGTCTACCTAGAAGGTGCTTTGTAACAGGTGCTGGCATGTCCAGAGAGGGTTTGGAGTGAAGCACTTCTCTCTTTGAGGACAAATAAGGAGAAATAGGTTCTTATGGGAGGAGTAGCTCTTTACTGCTCTTTCCCCACTCTGATGTTAAAAAAGCCTAATGTACTGTGGATGGATTTTAGGTTGTTGATACAGTTGTAAGGACACAGTCACTTCTTGGTTTTTTCAGTAAATCTGGTAATTATTTTGTGGTTCAGCTTAGTTATAAAGAAACAAGTTTTATTTGGAGAGGATATGGCCATGTGAAGTGCACTGAGTTGTAGAAATCACCGATCCATACAAAATGGTTTGCCGGTGCAAATAAAATATTTTCCCTTCGTTTCCAGCGTCAGTCTCCAAATTCAGTTTGTCCTGAGGCACATGGTAGAGAAGAGAGTGGGAGATTAGGTTCTGTGTTGTGAGTGACATCAGATTTTTTTAAACTTTCCTCTGAGATGGGTTGGTTCCCCATCTGTGGAACCAGGATGATACAACTTCCTGTGTTTATTTTGTATTTCAGAGTATTGGGAGCAGAGCATGCTAGCTGTGATATGCTGATAAAGAATTTGGATGTCTACATCTTCCTTTAGGTCTTATAAGGATGACAGACACTGATACTGCTCTCCAATCCACTGTTTAATGGATGATAGATAGCCATTTTCTTATGAAGGTGGGAAATCAAGAGGAAAGGCAATGCTTGCACCTCCTGCAGCTGAGTTGACCAGCTTCATCTCCTTGTGGTTTAAAACTGGCAGGAAGGAGGGTGTTGATATAAACCAAGAAACCCATCTTACTTAGTTTGGCACATGAGAAGGCTTTATGTAATCAGTTTTCCTTTAAGTTTTCCTTTCAGAACTTATTTTAAATTCATGCACACTTTCACAGGGAATCCATAAAGTGTTAATTTTTTTTTTTTTTAAGTGTCAAGAAAATCATAAAACCTTAAGCAGGTGGAATTTTGAGCAGGAGCTCTTAGGACTAGTGACCACTCACAGGTGCCTCTAAGGGACAGTTATAAATATTAATAAGTGCCTACTACCCACTATCTTGCAGTATTTTTTTTGAGGCTCTCTTGGCAGAGGGACATGGGTTCAGGAATACCAATTACACAGAGTAAATCTAATGCTATGTTGTGTCTTGCAGCTTAATTCCCACTGTAGGAATATTTTCAATATTTAAAAGTTTTTCCAAATACCCAGCTTTTAATGAAATTATTTCACTTTGTCTTTCTTGCTTTTGTATTACTTATGGCAAATTACTGTCCTAAATGGCCTCACATCTCCATGTTCTATCTGATGGGGCAGTTATCTACCAGGGAACAGCACTAAGGCTTCCTTCCAGGTCCCCAGATAAAACTATTTTTGCTAGGAGGACTATTTTCCTTCGCAAGCCCTTTGCCTGATCCCTGCTCAGAGGAGCAGCCAGTCATGCAAGAGGCTTTATCTCCTTTCCCAGTTCTGTGCCAATGGCTGAGTGAGGTGGAGGGACTGGGTTTGGGAGCTCCTTGAACTGACAGATCACAGGAGCCAGTTGCCAGAGCTGTTGAGTGAAAATGTGCATTCTGCTTCAGACCCTTTGCTGTAGTTTAGAGAGGAACTGACATAAGAACAGACAAACACATCACAGAGGCAACAGAGGTGGAAGCACATTACTGTAGAGTTTATACAATTAATTTTACAGTTCTGCAAGAGTCACAGAATAGAAATGTAACTGAGAAAGTTATTTTCCAGCATTCTTATTTCATATTAGCATGGCTTGACATGTAAATTATAAATGTAGGAACTCCAGAGCAAAGGCTGAGAAATTGTAATAATCCAAAAAACTGAGTTTGCATAGGATGGTGCATTTCAAATTTTGATGAATGCTGCTTTTATGAAGATGATGATGTGTGAAAACCCCAAGGTTTGCTTGAATGGATTTTGTCTGTAACAGCTTAATCAAACCTGGACTTTTTGAAGCAAAGTGTTCCAATGTGCTACATATGTTTTCCTTGCCCTTAGAAGAGTCTTGTTGTCTTCCTATACACTAGCCAAGAACTGGGGTGGAATATTTACTCTGTCCTCTAAATGACTGGGCAAAAATATGCAGTTCACATATTTGTTCCATATAATAGTTAGAAGTATGGCTATAAAAATTAACCTTTTTGTAAGAATAGTCTCCAAAGCTTACTGTGGTGATTTTCCCATTTAGATAGATATTTGTAACAATATCTGAATTCAGTTTCGGTATTCCAATAAAACACCTAGAGGAAAACAGCTGGCTTCTCAGACTATTTCCCATAAACAGCTCTACTCAAAATAACCAGAAAATTGCTCTCTTTTCCATCAGCATTCCTGAGCTAACAGTGTGAAATACAGGTTGACAAGGGCTGTAGAAGGGATATATTTCTTTAAATTTATTTATGAAAATATTGAACATTTTAATCTGATTTTGTTTCTTGTCTGTTTTGTAGTGATGACAGGACTTTGAGATGCATGGCTCAATTTCCCTGAATTAATTTAAATCCATAAATCAATTTCAGATAATTTTATTGTATATTGTCACAAGACTGCGCAGAGGCCACAACTTCACTTAAAATCCTGATGGGATTGAAGTGCTTTTTTTCCCATTGAACTGCTGTTTATCTCTAGTTGTTTCCCATCTGCAGCAAAACAAGCTGGGAGGGGGTGGCTTTTCCGCTGGGGAAGGAAACAGATAACGAAGCCACTCAGAAGACTTTTGGTTGGAACAGTATTGACTGGTAGTGGGGGTGGGTTGGGAGAATGTTACTTTTTGAACTTACATTTCAGAACTGTATGCTGGATTTCCTGTTTGACTGAGGCAGAACTCTAATAGTCACTTTTTTATTTCTGTGATAGTT